TTTTTTATTTACTCTGTTACTTGTTTTTATGTCATACCTGTGTGTGCATTACAATTGAGTACACATGGATAAAAGCGTCTCTGACACTCTGTCGTATCGTGCACAAGGGTCCCCCTACATTTTAACAGCTTCGGTATTGTAATTGTATGATTTTTATCAATTAACACGCCAAGAAGACGCTTTGCTGTAGCCGAGGTGCATTAGTGAAATCGGTCGGCTCGCCGATGCGCATTGGAGTGTAATAGCGCGGGCCATTGTTCTGCGCGGGTATACACATCTAATCGCTCACTGTGAGCCAATGAGTATATTTATGTATACTTGTAACAGATGTGCGCAGGAAAAAAAAAAAAAAAGTGACAGCGGAAGGAACGGCTTCGGCTCGGTTGATGCGCTGAAAATCCTGTCTCGCGGCCGATCGTTTATTCGTACTGATTTTGAATAGTTGCACAAGCTACGGGCTCGTTCTCCGTGACGGAAGAGATTTTTTTTCTTTTTTTTTTTCTTTCTGTTTGTTTTTCGTGAGAAGGAGGGGAGCGCTCGACTGGGAGTCTCCGCGGGCGTCGAGCGAACCGATGGAGCCGAGAGATTGGGGGTATCGGTCGTGTATGTTTTTGAACGAGAGATGGATGGATAGACGTGTACGGCTGAATGTCAAGTGGTGCTGGAGCTTCAAGTGTACATAATATTATCACCGACTCGATGTGGAGCTAAGGCCAAGGCTTCTGGGAGCTATTATGTTTTCAATACAACGACGGAGAGGAGGTTAATCGTAAATTAAAATCTTACACGATAATTCAGAGGAGAAGATAAAAACGATTAAACACAAAAGGAACCAATCACAGTCTGCGTTCGTGGAAAATTTAAATGGAGAGTAATGGAAGCACGGTCGCGAGTATAAACACCATATATGTATAAAGTTGGGGTATAGTTACATTGTGTGCCCAAAAGGGAGCAAAACGGAGAGAGATGGAGTAAATGAGAAACTCTCTTGGCTCCGCGATTGAAATAGTCCACCGTCCGTATGACTCGGTAAAAGGGCAATGTATTGTAAGAGACACGAAAAGAGAGAATAAGGTTGCATCTGAGCTCTGCTCCCGTTTCAATTACTTTGAGTTTTTACGGTGTTCGCAAGATGTGCCATCGGTTTTAGATGGACGAGTCGGTTGTTGTATAGATTCAGAGATAAAAAAAATTTGAAAAACGACACCCTATATACGTATAAGCTCGAACGAACCCAAAAGCAGTAACCCCTTGACGAGCAAGAGGAAAATCTGGCGTTGAAAAATCGGTAGGCGCAAGAGAGATGTATAAAATCAAGCCGAAGAAAGAGCTATCTGTGTGCAGTGGTGTATAGCGCGGAACAAAATAAAAGCAAGTAGGAGAGAAACAAGACGAGGGAGGGAGCCATGTGGATGCATCGGGAGGGGGGGGGGAGGGAGGCTGCGGGTGTGTTTATTAATAGAGATTAAGCTCCGGCGGGAGAGAGCCGTACGGTATATACAGCTCGAGCGTCGTGTCGGGTCGTGTGCATGAGGCATCCCCAGTACACAACTAGCCATCGGGCCAAAGTTGCACGTCTCCCGCGCACGTCCACACATATAACATACAAAGCGGCTCCGTCATCCGCTTGGTCCGGCTTTACCGATTCGGTGTGTCGAAGTACCGTGACATCTCATGCCGATGCAATAACAAAGGGTGCTGTACCTTTTTTTGTTTTTTTGTTTTTTTTTCCATCTCACGTAGAAGGAAATTCGCAAGAGAGTGTCAAAAACATCGTCGCGGGCGAGCTTGCAAGCTCGCTGATCATAATCAAGTGTGCGTGTGTGTGTCCCGTACCCGTGCAGTGTTCAAACATGTGACTCTGGTTGCATCCGCTTGCAAATACTCGTATTATACGCACACATCTGTACACGTAGTGTTTTTGTGACACGTGCCTGTGTGTCCGTGCATACATGTACACAGGAGGAGCTTTTTGATTCGCTCCACATAGTCATACGGAGCTTGCGCGTATGTATGTATGCACATTGGGTGTAAATAATATATGCGAAGGAGATCGAGTTACGCGCGGCTGGTTGTTTGGAGGCTTTTTAGGCGTGGCGAAACGTCGCTGGCATTTTGAAAGATGTCGCGGGAGGCAAGGGCGTGGAGCGGATACAAATCATCCCACTGCTCTTTGCCTTACGGATACTCGTTGTTTGTTCAATTAGTTTGAAAGAAAAAAAAAAAAAAAAAAAAAATTAACTGCAATTTGGTGGAGGTGGTACGTCCTGTTTCGCGAATCGGATATTTGTTTTTCCACCACGGAAATAGAACAGCGATATGAAATACTCGAGGGTGGGAGAGAGCTTCGAGCTGTGCGTGCTTTACACTCAATTACAGCGCGATCGAAACGAATTTTTCTTTTTTCATTTCAGTGGTATAGCCTAACAAAGGCAACTTACTTGATTCGTAAAATACGTGGGGCGAAAAAAAAAAAAAAAAATGTAAAATTACCAGATCGTCGCAACGTAGAGAGCTGCACTGATGGCCGTCATCGCGCCTAATAGAGCTCTATTGCTCTTACCCTTGGGGTAATTCTCCGTGAAGCGCGGCTACTGTACTTACACGTATACGTGCATGTGGGAGGCAGCGAGTACAGTATAAATTTGACCCTTCCACGTGGGAGTGTGGGGCCAGATGGCCTCCAAACGAAGCGACCGATTCTTCGATTATTAAATTTCAAATTAACGCGAGTCAAAAAATGTTTGTCGTTAATTTGTTGTTAAAATAATCTCATGGGAGAAAAATACAAGTATACACACAATACGCGGGGTATATACATGGTAAGGCATTAATTTACGAGGAGAATCAAGCGAGTTAGCCGTAATGCTCGGTGATGGTTATTATACGAGCGTCTCTCTATACGTATAACACGCCTTCCCTCTCTTGCGCTCTTTTCATCCGAATCATTCCATCACTTGACTTCCCCTCCGAATGTACGTACGTACGTGTTTGTGGCTGTTTCGTATATAGCGTTACTGCTACGCCACACACGTAGGTATGTGTTGATACAGACATGAGTGAAAAATTTTATGTGTAAGTGTACTAGCTGCTGATGTTGCTCATGTATCGTTGAAACGACCGAGCAAAAATCGCGAAAAATTTTTTTCACTTGTCAAGGGCGAAACAATAGCTATTATTTTTTTAATAAAAAATGTTTTTTTTCTCATAGATCTGTATGAAATACGTATCGTCATAGGGATCATTTCCAACTGGTTGTTTAACTATTTTAACAATCAATTATTCTGTCTTAATAAAAAAAAAAAAAAAAAAGAAGCTTAGCTTGATTCTACACGACGAAGGTGTGAATTTCAAGCCCTATGGTCCCCGCCATTAATCGTGGTTGCACTTTCCTCATATTCATCCATCACACATCTCCGTGAGAGATCCAAAGTTGCAAGCTCAGCCTTTCTTTACCACGACAATGGCCTCTCCGTGTGCAAAGAATAATCGGAGTGAAGATGAGCACGGCTCGCCATTAAACTGTACATGGCCCCTTTTTTCGTTTGCCATACAGCAACTATTGGAGTTGGAGCCATAGAAGATGACGAGGAGACCCTTTGGAACTATCGCCGTATCATTTATATACCCCGGTAGTATGCACGTCATCGCGTAACACATAAGTACGAATGCTCTCTGTATAGCTGATTCACTCCTCGTGTCCTGCTATACATATACGCGCATACGCGCAAGTGCGCCAAATATCTCGGTCCCCATCAGTGGACCCGTTGCGTAATCCCGGAGATTACTACACCGATGCAACCACACGTCACTATTACGGTTATGCACGCGAGTGTCGTCTATTTTCTCAGCCCCGACAATAAATGCTTCCTCTTCTTTTCTTTTTTCTTTACCCTTACATTCTTTGTAGCTCAAAGGCGCCTCCTCTCTCTCGAGAGAGAGAGAGCCACATGCTTCTTCTATATACTCGATCTAGAGGTTTTTTTTTCTTTTTTTTTTTCCCAAGTGCCGCGCATGTATACGATAATATACGAACAAAAGAAACCGTGTCGAGCAAAGGGACAAGGGGGGGCGCACTTGTATATAACCCGGCGCCAAACTCGTTGTGGCTGTTTATTATTATTTTTACCCGTGTGTGTTGCGTTGCATATGTAGTACATGTATAGAGGGACATCGATCAGTCAACGGGTATGGGTCAGAGCTTTTTTTTGACCTTGAGCTTTGGAGCTTTCCCTTTTGCCAACACGGCACGAGTGCCCTCGCAACAGCGCGTTAAACACCACTAACGACACCGATAACGATTTTGCACGGTAGGTCTTTTTTAATCTTAGACATGTAGCCATAATATAGCCATTGTAATTTCCACGAATAAAACAGGGCGCGTCGAGCCAACGGTGCAAGAGAAGAAGAAGAAGAAAAGGGAGAGGAATGCGCCACGATTGTGCGTGTATGATATACATGTATGTAGGTACTTGCGCACATATGCGCGTCGAGAGAATATAATATAGGTTCGAGGCCGGGAGGGAGCGAACGGGATGGTAAAGGAGGGCTTGGCAACGTCGTGCTGATATGTACGGTGGCTTTTGTTACACGGAAACCGAGTATCCGTATGGGAGATGATGCGTTTCTGGAGCGCGGGTGCCATTGTGTGCCTTTGTTCCCTCCCTCGTTGAGATTTTTCATTTGTTCCCCTGCACCTATACACGATTCGGACGATCGAAAGAGAGATTAAGACGATGGAATATCCAACGAGGGGAGCTCGGGGGATAGACGCGCGCGGAGACTTCGATGCATAGATCTTCAGGGAAAACGGGACGACTCACGCGTTCTTCGACAATCTCAGTTCCCAGAGACGAGCGGTACCTAGATGCTTCGTCCCGGATGTCGTGGCGAGCTTTTATTTCCTATACCCATGGTAAAATGGAGAAACAGTCGGTACATGAAGTGAGATCAATCCATCACTTGAGAACTTGCTACGGAGAATCGCAAGGAGTTCCTTGGAGGGTTCAGACTCGCGAGTTTATCACTTCCTCTCGAGTTTAAGACCCGTCTCACATCCTGGATTTTTGTTTCTTTAACCCGTGTGCCCCGTGTTCGCTCAATTAAACATTTGTCGAAGCAGAAAAAACAAAAAGGCAATTAATTCTCCTCCCCGTTCTCGCGATATCGGTAACAATCGCTCTACACATTTAAACAAAAAAATATATATAAGTAAGCCGTCTATACCAAAGAGAGAAAGTGTAGAGCAAAGAAAAAAAAGAATCCAAGCCGGAAGATTCATCGTCGACGTCTTTGTCCACTCGGGCTCTGCACGTGTGAAATAACTATGATGTATCTATCTCAGCTGTCGAAAGCACACGCGTTACTTACGTCTGCCATCGATGAAATAAAGAAAATAAAAGTGCATGTGTGTGTTGTACACAATGACAACGAGGTTGTAAAGACAAAGTGGGCGAGCATCGCCTCGCGATTCATTGTTCATTCCACGCGTCGATTGTCAGTCTAATGAAGAAACAAAAAAAAAAAAAGTATAGAAAAGGATTGGAAATGCCGATTGTCGCTGCGTTGCGCAAGTTTGTGTATATATGCATTAATCCGGAGTAGGTAGGCTGTTACAAGACGATCGCGAGGGATCACTTTAATTCTATGGGTCTGCATTTACATGTACACATACATGTATATATATCATGGCAACGAGGTGTGTGAGTGTGGGGTGTGTATCATTTAATTGTGAGTCATTGTTTAGGTTTGGCTAATATCTTTTCCTTTTCCTTCTTGCCCCCACCCCCTGACGAATAATGAAAATATAGCGTAACCGGATGTATCAGGGACATAAGTTTTCTCTCCAAGGTTTTGTAAAAAATGCCACCACTAATGCTTGCATCCGCGAGTTTAAATGCCGTATGATATCAAAAAAATGTTCGCCACGCCTCCAAACAACCAAAAAGGGCAGCCAAACATCAAAGCGTATAGCTCATCTCTTTTGTACAAAGTGCAACAGAGGTCCGCATACGTCTCTGGAAAAAAAAAACACCGATCCGTAGATAGTACAGCTCAAAACATATACATAAGTACAATTAAAAAAAAAAAAATAAAGTCAAGCGGTCTCGGTGAGGTGTAAGAGGAGTGTCCTCTCGTTGGCCCAAAAATCGTGGATCTGCCGAGTCATGATGCTAATGCTACTATTGTGCGTCATCATGAAGATCGCGGAGGAGCTGACGGTGGACCGAGCCGCCGATACGAGACCGATGCCCTGCTGCGGCCAGGGGAGGCTCAGGATGCGCCGGAAACGCCGGCACAAGAAGCGTAAGCATCGTCTTCTGAAAAACAAATTTTTACCATCAATTTAGGTATATACCATTGGTATAGGGTATATAGCATATTATTAATTGACAATGGCATGAAACAGTGTTGTCGTTGCACAGATATAGATTCGTCCCTTAAAGTGTGTCACGGAGAGCCGCGGCCAAGAGCTATACATCTCGCGTCTCGGACGAAACGAAACACTATATGCGTAATCAGACCGACTGGCCGAGCGGACACAAAAAAAAAAACATACGCGATACGCAACAATGATAATAATAATTGAGGCTGCTTTGTTTCGGTGTAATTTACATAATGATGGCTGTGGGTGAACGTGCCGTGATTTGTGATCGATCGCGCGCGTCCTGTCGGCAGTAATCATCCGTGCCCTCCCAGTTTAATCATCGGGTACACATGTGTTTGTTTATAGTCATTTTTATAAAAGTTCAATGATTACTCTTTGGAGGAAATAAGCTCGTGTATTAAAACTACATTTTTTTTTTATAACGCAAATCAATTGTTCATGGAAGAAAATCATTGCTGTACCGGATGTGTGTCAAAACCGCGTTGTTTCTAACGTCTTTAAATTAATTTGTTGTTCGATAAATCACTTTGTTACATTTATAAATACATGCACACCGAGAGAACACGCGTGTGAAAATTTACGACCGCTTCGCCCGTAATGTAATTGTGAAATATGAAAAATATGATGCCTTCACACGGGATGTCTATAAGAAAAAAAAAAAAAAAAAAATTAAGTCGACACATTTTTAATATCACTGCAAGCCTCTGAGAATTCATATTGAACATCGCATGTTTATTATAAATGTCGCGATGCTGATTCTTCCTCACAGGAACACGATGTTTCAAAAGTAAAACCTATACGGGTGTATGTTGGACCGTCGCTTCGACTCCTCTCGCGGATGACAATGCCTCCCAACGATTATATTTAGAGCGTGGGTCGCTTCGGCGTAATTATACCCACGAAAGCACCGGCCATCTCTGCACCGTACACAAAGGTATATATATATAATACCTTGCACAACGCGAGAACGCGTTTATATGCGACCCACACGCGCACGTATATGATTATATATGATACACCCAAGGCGCGGCTGTATCGCTGCATCTCTGTTATTATATATCCTCCCTCTGGAATGGCTCTCGCTCGAGCGCATTGTGTACACCAAGCGATGATAATTTCAAGTGATTTTGCTGGCTGTAATTTTTTTTTTTTTTTTTTTGTTTTTTTAGAGGCGCGGAACCTGTCGTCCCGCGTAGGGTTTAATTTTTTTTTCTCTCAAAGGTGTAATGAGAGTTGGCGCGCTGTCGTCGCACCGGGAAGTATGTCTAGTTTGTCCGGAGGTGCGCTGCACTTTCGCTTCGATTATTTGCCCGGTCGAGGAGGAAAAAAAAAAAAAATGCAGTCGCTCTCCATTGATTGGGGGGCCGTGGAGTGTCTTTTTTTAAAAATCTTTTTTCTTAAATGCTGGATTTAATGGCTCTCCCGCGAGAAATTTAGAAAGCGAGATTGTGCACGCGGACCACAGCCGAGATAAACCTATTACGGAGCCGCTCGCCGTTTCCTCGTGCACATTTCCACCCGAGAGGAACCAAATTGGCAAATAATAATTAATATGGAATATAGTTCGTAGCTTCGCGCGTTGATCAAACGAACATAATCATTCGGCCGTGCGAGTTTCGTTTGCATATCTACGGGCAAATAATTGTATCCTTTTTTTTTTTTTAAATTATCTCTCTCTTCTCGGTGTAGCCGTTTACGAGCGTCGAACCGAAGATATTCCGGCTTTCACGAGAAAAATAATCACGTTACAAGGCAGGTTTGCTCATAGAAAGCACATAACACGAAAAATAAAACGCGACCTGAAAAAACGTGTATTAAAATTACGCAGACGCAACGTCACGCGATCGCCGCGATGTAGTATGCCTCGCACGCGCTCGCGATCGACGTGGCCGTGCGATGCATCGTTGGAAAAAACAAGCTCATCAGAGTCTTTATCTCGCACAGTATATGTAAAAAAGTGCGCTCTCAAAAACATCTTTCCCTCGCACTCGTACAAAATACTCGTTTATAGGGTACACGCGTGCGTTTCCCGAGCAGTGCACTCCTCCGCCCTTAAATCCTCGCACAGAGTATTTAGTGTATACTTATACCGCAGAGAGGAAATTCCCATGCGGCGCGCGAGTACACAAGTATAGGTACTGCTTGCATACTTATACTTGCGTATTCCAGACGCTCGTGGCTCTTTGCAGGCACGCGCGCTTCGGTCTTGTTTTATTTTTTTCCCATGCAGGTCTGCGATTACGAACGAAAATCGGAAGGGGGAGAAAAAAAAACGGCGTGGTAGTTATCCAAAGGCTTTGGGTAGAGGGAAGGGACAGGAAACACAATCGAGGAGAGTTTACTTTGATCGAGTCTTTTCTTTTTTCAATTAACTTTAATTCCGTTGTTGGACTTAACGTTGATTTTACCGATCTCATGAGAAATAGTAGGTGGGAAATTATTGTCAGTTGCCGATAGCGTTGGATAGCTCGAGAATGTAATACGTTGATTTTGTAGTTAGGCGAATCGATTTGCAGATACACGAAACCGTATACTTATATACTGGTAGTAAAAAGACTGGGTGTTGTACATGATATACACGCTGCTGGGAAATATAATCAGATCGGTGACATAATCTTGGCAATAAAAATAATATTGAAAACCAATATGCTCATTCATCCGCGATACATATGTTGTGATGTACGTGTGTTCGAGAACGACGGGTATTATAATATATACTGCCGTTTCAAGTATATCGAGTTTACGAAGTGTGGGGAATGTATAATAAATGCCTGCACGAGCTCAATATCAGATGTACTACTACTAGTACATTTGATTCTTCATCTCGTTACGTGGTTCTAGTAAATTATTATAAAATAATTACGTTTATTTGGAAATGTTTTTTTTTTTTTTTTTTTTTTTTTTCGAAAACGATTTTCAACGAAATCCAATTTTTGTTAGTTGCGACATGAGCGATAAAAGAGATAACAATTCGGGTTGTAAGCAATCGCAATACTTATGCCTGGGAATTTATCAGATTTGAATTTCCCAACCAATTGAAGCTCGTTAAAAGGAATGTTATCAACAGTTCAAGGAAACAGTGTCAAATATTGACCAATTAATTAGATGATAAGAGCTCGTCAAGTCGTAAAGTTTTAAAGCGCGAGCTTACATTTTTATCCAAAAGAAAAAAAAAAAAAAAAAAAACTTGAAAGACAGGAATTCGTGTGATCGATCGCCGAACAGAATCGTCAAAATTCGGCACGCAAAAATGGTAATGTCTGTCAAATCACGAGGGTGTGTCTCATAAATCAAACACATTCATGTAGTTGCGAAAAAGTTGCAAAATAGTCAATTAAAAAATAACGAAGGAGATAAAAGAAGCACCTGTACACCGAAAAGAGCCGTGCCGTAGTTTACACATAGCTTTATATACCCAGCGGGCAAGTCCACGTATCCAGCTCTCTCCTCCTACTACTCCACTGGTAGGTGTACCTCTCGATATCCCCTCGCCACCCCGGGCCCCGGAGGTATACTCGCAGAGACCAAAGAGAGCGGCTCGGCCCGTGGAGCAGCCAGTGACGGCGCGACAACCGGGCACTCAACAACAACAACTCCCATTCGTCTCGTCTGCTCTTAGCTGACACAGTTTAGCAGACGCTCACTTCCCTCGAGTTTAGTGTGTGCGCGCGTGCATATGTATATACCTTATACCTTTGTTGTGCTTGCGTGTGTGAATATATACATAATACATATATATAATCACAGAGAGCTACAGAAAGAGAGGAAAATCGTGTAACCCTCCGTTCCGATGGGCTCTTTTTGCTCGATTTTTCACATTACTTCGTCGAGGCACGAAAAATCGATGTCAAAGATGGGCTGAACGCGTTCGCTGATGACAAGATGATGTGATGATACAAATGTGTTTCTCCTGCTTTTGTGCTACACATCAAAAGATTAAAGAAAAAAAAAAGAGAGACAACACAGTGCGAGATAGTTACAACCAAATACTTAAGCTACCTATTGTCAAATCGTGTACTTACACGTGTAAACGAGAGGCGCGTATATTATACGGGCACTATTAAATTTGTCATCGCAAAAAGCGTACACGTCTCCGAATGTCTTGATAAAAAATATGAGCTGACGTAGAGAGCACAAATTTATCCATCGTGTAACTTGCTCGGGGCGATCGAGGATGACGGCAACGTCGGTGCAGTTGTTGGCTGGCTGCATTCCACGCCGCGTAGACGATCGATCGACCAACGAGGACAACCACTATAGTGAGCCCGATCGTTTTCACCGCTGCTGCTCCGTTTAAGGTTAGCTTTTGACGCTTCTCTTCCTCTCCCTCTCTTGCGAACTATCAATCTGCTGAAAGAGAGAGGAGAGAAAAAAATTATGCTAACGGTGGAAAGGAATAAAATAGTACTTATACGCGCACCCGTTAAACTCGTCTTTTACTTATAAAACACACTTTGGAAAGCTGTCGCTCAACTGCTCGAAAGAAGTTCCATAGTTAACGTGTAAGTAAGTATGTAATGCGACAAATTAGGAAGTCCGGAATGCGAACGTCCTCCCGTCGCGCTTTAACCGAAGGAAATCGAAAGTCGTCCGCTGATCTTAGCTCTCGCTGCACGTCGCGAGCGAGGAAACCAGTTCTACCAAGTTGCCGCAATAAAATAAAATCTCTCTGTAAGGCTGCGAGCTTTTTTTTTTTTTTCCTTTGATTTTCATCGACGAGGGGGCGCGAGAGGTGAGAGACTGATGCAGGAAAGGTGGCGCCAAGGAAAAGTGAAAAAAGAACAAGTAGTTAAAGCTGCCGACAGTTGAATGCGAGTGCGCGCACGGCCGTTCGAATTGTGAAAGCTGCGCGCTCTTTCAAAGCACACTCACACGCACAGCTCATGGTATACATTTAGCCCTTTTAGCGGTACACTCGCTTGTTTGTTTGTTTCTTTTTTTTTCAGCCGAGATGATGATGAAAACAAAGATGTACCGCTGCGCGCGGAGGTTACGTGTGCGTTTTATCAATTGGTCTGACGTAACGGAAGAGTATATAAAGGGAATTAGCAAGCGATAAAAAAAAAGGCAGAGAATATATTAAGAGCTGAGAGTAGTAGACGATACACCACGACAATGCACGGCTTTGTTGCCCTCCCCCCCCCTCCATATCCAACCCGTTAGTTATGTTGTGGGTGGTTTTATTCTTTTTTCTCTTCCCCGTTGCTGATGCATTTTTTCACCCACGGAACATATATCACGACACTTAGACCCACGCGTTCTCTTTCATTTATGGTTGTGTTTGCGACGATTTTATCTCCGTGACTCGCTGATGGTTCGCTTCTTTTACTCGGAAAAGCGCGCAAAAGGAGGGGGGGGGGCTCTTTCGACTGGAAAAATTGCGGGATCACGGAGCTTTACGTAAGCACGCGCGAGATGAAGCGATGGTCTCTTTACTCTGTACCATATGCATTTATTTTTGTATTTTTGAAGCTAGAGCTTTTTTTGTACCGTTCATTAGCTTTTCTTTTCGTACGTTGGTTCATGAGCAAGGCCTTGGAAAACTCAAAAAATTTAAATAATAGAGCGTATTTATTGGCAACAAATTATTTTTAAATTTGCTCGATACAAATCGTTAAATTTTTTGCCCAAAGACCTATTTATCTATTATGTAACGGGTTTGAACGATAAATGGCTTTCGCTGCGTTTTTTCAAACGCAGCTGTCAACGACGAGTTTGGATAATCAACAGATTGAAAGGAAACGAAAGTAAAATTAATCACACGCCCGCAGCGTCGATTGAAAAACTCACGAGTGGCGTTTGATAAGAAAAACATTTTGTTTTTTGTTTTTTTTTTCAGTTCAGTTTAGTTTGGTTCCATAGGGACATAAATACCACGGAATGACATGGGACACTGTAACAGAAAAAAAAAGAAACAAAATTTATAGCGAATGAATAGAGAGGCAGAAACGATTAGCTCATGTGTCATGTATAAAATATACGTACACACAATGGCTTTAGAGAGAGAGAAAAAAAAAAAAAAAAAACAGTGGCAGAAAGCCGAGGATGACGTCATACGTACAACAGACGCCCACGTGCTCTGTTGGACTTGCCGTATAATTTTTTTTTATTCGAATACATTTTGCGCTTGAAACCCCAAATAAGTACACGCAGCGAAATAAGAAGAAGAAAAAACTGTTGGCGTAGGATACACACAACAACACGATACGACAGATAGTGGCATCCATAATTTTTTTTTCCCCCGTTCATCGCTAGCCATTTACCTGATGGTACGAAAAACATATATATATGTCTAGCTGTAGACGTAACTATTAAGACGACGAAAAAGTAAAATTTTGTTCATGGCCTTAGCTCTTGGTATACAACGATATGTTACAGAATGTGTCAGAGTCGCATTAAAATCACATCATCAAGTCTTCGTAACGCGTTTATAACCGATGCATTTAAAAGTGACCGTTGTAGTTACACCTACATAAATATATTCTCACTTTTAACGTACAAGAAATGAAATGTCGCTAATGTATACAATTTGAAATTGTTAAAAAAACAACAGGGGCCTGCGGTAAGACGACCTCGATGATGGAGGACCCGCAGACCCCGGGCTCGGACTGCAACTCGAATCCGGCGAACGAGTCCCAGGACAACCTCATTGGCTCGGAATTCATTCAAGACAACACCGAGTACCAATGGTTCATCGATTACAGGTAACGCATACACTCCGTTTTGTAAAAGCACATGCGCAACTAATTGCTCTTGGTAGACTTTCACTGATAATGAATAAATAAATGACAAAAACCTCATACGTTGCAGAGATGGGGGGTTACACGTGCACCCGAGCGTACTGTCTTCGCTGTCGGCTTCCTACACGAAGGACGATCTCGGGTACTACGACGATCTGGCGCGCAATCTCGACGCGAACGTTGCCGAGGTCGACATGGAGAGCTTCAGGACAGCCGACATACACACGTTGCTCATGTGCACGGATCCCACCCAGCATTCGGAGGTGAGGGTGTTTTTTTTTTTTTTTTTTTTTTTGCTGTGTTTTTTCTACTCATTATTTTTCATCCGTGTTAATATCATATCCATTCGTTTCGCCGTTCTACGAGCTATACTTTATGTATAATTATATAAGTATACCTATGTGTGCATACATCACCATCGGCACCACCATGTACATATACATAACATGTACCTTCATTTCCTTTCATCATATTATTTTCTCACTATATGCATATACATACATTATATGTGTGTGGTTGTCACCATCATCGGTTAATTTGTACGAAACTTTTAAAATGCCGGGTTACACAAATCTATTGAGTGATGAGTAAAAAATGTGACGATGATAGTTTTCCTCGCTGTATCCGAATTCCAACTAGGTGTGCCTAAAAAGCGTTTATTTGTAATTTCAAGTATACCCTCCGTCTCGTGAATGTTCAATGATTACAAAACACATGCCTTATATATCTGTATGCTTTTCTTTCTCCCTGTGGCAGTTTGAGTTTGATTATCCACGGGAAAGGTACGCGAGTATATCTGGCTCGGTGATGGAGAAGCTCGACATCAGTTCCTCCATTAGTCCTCGGGTCAGTAGTCAGGTACGACGATACCAAAAATTATACACGTTCTGCTGTGGCTGCCGCTGCTGCTATTTTGTCGCTGTTGTTGTTTATGACTAATGTGTCCAGATTTTGTTTTCCTTTTGCACGCTTTTGTATACGTATTGTTTATCACACTCTTTGGTTTTCCGAATCGAGCTTTCTTTTCACCGCCGCAGTTATATTACCAACGACACGTTAAAAAGCAGTGCGCGCACCGTTTGGTCTCCCTATCATCGATAGGAGTTTGGAATCTTTTTTTTTTTTTTTTTTTCCAGAGTTCCCTAATCGATTGCTTTTTGGAAAACAATATCAACACCAGCCTGCATGTGGTTTTACTTTACACTCTAACAGGCTTTTGATGTGCTCTTTTTTCACACGTAACACGATTATTGTAATTTTAGTGCAGTCGAGGGTGTATCATGTTTTTTATACCCTGTCGATCAAATCGACTATTATTATTTTAAATAAACAAGACAATTGTGAAGTGTACGATGAACTCACTAGAAAATCCTAATTCTAAAATGCATAAAGCGCATGGCTGAACTTGGAACAGATGTATAATATGTTGTACCTATACGCACTATTACACGCATTGTACGTGAAATTAAAATACACGAGAAATGTCGCTGTGTTGAATTTCTTTTTAATAATGCACATCCAATAAATTTCATCATACGAATTTTACGACGTTTGCTTCTTTCGGGGGTATCTTATATCTAGATTTTTTCGATCGCTCTTCATTTAAAATAAATAATTGATTGTCCGGTAAGACAAAGGAGACAATTCAGCTCCATACGGAAGAGATCATTACAGATTTACCAAGCAAAAAAAAATCAAATCTCATTTTTAAGTACAAAGGATTTATTATAGGCTTTGAAAAATAGCACGTTATTATCTTGGGTCAGTAAACTAAAATGCTGATGTTTAAAAACGTAAAATAAAAGTTTATTATATAGTCTAAACGCAGATAATACTGTTGTTTAAAGTCTAGTCAGCCGATTTTTAATCAAGTAAAATTTATTAATATGGCAGAGCTTTTACGTGAATAGTTTTCACTGTCCTCTTCTTCCCAAGTAGGAAATCGTGTCTAAAGTGCAATTTAGAAAAGTACAATTATTGAATTTTCAATGATACGTCGTCCCTTTTCGGATACTAAACGTTTTTCAAAAAATGTAATCCAATGTTCCGAAAAAGATATACTTCATTACTGCTTGGAACGCAGTAAATAAAAAATATATTTTCCCGCAACAGTTATGAGATATAGTCAGTAAGAACAATTTCTAAAAAAAGATGAAAAAAAAACAAAAAAACGTAATGATGAACTTTATTTCTTTAAAGTTTTATAAATCTGTTAAAATTTGTGTTCCATAGCGTAATGTACATGAAAATGAAAAAAAAAACTTTCTTTTAGCAAGTTATGACCTATACACTTTCACATACATTTGGTGTCTAATAAACTGTATGATAGTCATACCGATTTCTATGTTCATTAACGGCACAAAGTACTTTAACGCTTCCAGGTAACGGTAACTCCACACTCACACACAATATATCGTAGTACATTCTAGTGCAGCTCAAAATTAGTACATCGCCTTATCTTATTCCACTCGTCCCTACCTATACCTTATAACATTCCACCTAAAACGGCATGGCTAAATAACAAAAGATGGAAGAAAAAAAGTTCGTGTAACAAAGAAACGTCCTAATAGTCTGTGGGCACGTGAAAAAAAAAAAAAAATTGTTTACGCTCAAAAAAAAAGATTGGAAAAACAGATACGGCATAATTGCCTCCAAACGGCCACTTAATGGTTCCATGAATTTCTCCAAAAACGAAAAACGCAGGGGGAGGACTCGGCCTGCTCGACGACGGACACGATATCCATCTGCAAGTCGTCATTGCTGTTCTCGCCAGTGAAGGAGATGCCGGTACTACCACCCGGAGGGAGCTACAGCGTGGATTCTCTCGATTGCGAGGACATGCTCATCACCTGCCAGACCAACAACAAGAACAACTACACCATCGCGTTCGAGGGTAGCATCGCCATGTACTCGGACGGATCGCAGGATTTCGATAATCAAGGTGAGTCGAGATTATATACTTTTGCAGCAACACCCCATTTCTTTTACTTTGGAAAAAAAAAAAAAAAAAAAAAAAAATTGTAAATCCGTTAACTATAACGACTGAAATCGTATACTAAAACAGCCGAAACTCTTTTAACGACGCGATGCTCAAACACAGAAGGCATTGGTCCGCTGTTCGCAGATAACAAGCAAAGCAGTAAGGCCCACGTGGGTGACAATCACCACCAAAACGCCTCCTACTGCGACAACAACAAGGCCCTCAACAACTACAAGAACATGACCCTCGATTTGTCGATGGCTCGCTCGGACTCGAAGATCTACACGACCTGGAGCAACCTAAAGCACTCGTCGATCGGCAAAACGATCTCGCGCCATCCTTCCGGAAATAACAACACAACGCCAAATTTTCTCCAGAGCAACATCAGCTGCACCGCGGGTCTCAGCGTCACCGGAGCTCCGATTTGTGTGGACGACGTTGGAGCATCTTTAGATTTTCTCAATAATAAGTCCAGATGCCAGAGCCTGCCAGACCTTAGCAAAGCTCGTGAACTCGAGCACGTCGAGATGGTGCCGCTCAATTTTTCCGTAAGTTTTTTCTCGGTTGCGAGATTTTTATTTTTCTCGTCATCGTTTCGGATATTTGTCACCTGAATATCTGATGACGACAGTTAAAAGTTACACATAAAAATGATTGGATCTCTACTGTCCAGGTCGACTCGGGTGAGATATCCAGCAGCCGTAGCGGTCGGATGCAGAGTTCAAGCGGCTCGATAAACGAGGAGAGCTCCGACAGCGTCGGCAACACCTTGTCCTCCAACAACAAGAAGCTCCAGAACATGAGCCTCGTCCGGCTGTTTATGAAGCAAAAGAGCATGAGCACCGAGGGCATGAGCCTTACCCTCGACCAGACGGACTCTGGAAGCGAGACGGGCTGGCCTGCCAGCAGCCACAACAGCGACAGTGCCACCAACGCCACCCAGATATCCAGGCAACAGCAGCAGAGCATCGGTCCAGTAACGGATAACGATTTGGCTATCAAGTGGCTCAAACCCGAGAACTATGGTGTCGACTCGAGGAAGAAGAGGTTCAACAAGGGAAGCAGCAATTGCTCCACCTCGATGGAGGACCTGCTGTCGGCGAGTGCGACGAGATCGGTGTCTACGTCACCTGCCGAGCCAAGGAATACGCAGGTCGACCGCAACACCACGACCAACGCGAGCATACAGGTGGGGACCGAGGTAGAGGACAATAGCGTGCAAACGTCGCTGATCTATCCAGCGCCCGGCGAGCGGATATTAGCCGGCCGGTCCCCGGTGCGCGAGACCCTCGTCAATGAGAAGCCGGTGTACGTGGTCTACCCAAACTACGCGCTACCGGATCTTTCGTTCCTCAACTCGTCGTACGAGAACGTGGCACTCAAGCCCCACAACATCAGCAGTCAAAGTAGCAGTAGCACCAGCACCGGCAAGGGTCAGCACGTTAGACCGGCAGCTCCGCTCGGAGGCCGGCCATACTCTTGCGGCGACATCGACGCCCTTAGGCAGCGCGGATTCTCGCACGTCAAGGACTGGGAGTCGCTGACCTTCCTCCTGCCAGCCGAGTACCGCAGAGTCGTCTTGCACGACCTTCCCGAGGTGCCGGAGCACGTGAAGCTGCTCGACGAGGAGATGGTGCGCAAACCCCTCTTCTGTCTGTCACCGCCGGTGAAGCATAGGCACCGACACAGGTACCAGCAACACCGTGACGTCGTCATTAATCATCACCATCATCAGAACACCGCGACGGTCGTCTCCTCGAGCAGCAGCACTGCAACCCAGCCGTCCTCCGGCTACCGGGGATCTTCTACCATTCTGACCGACTCTTCGTCGAACCAGCAGAACTCGAGCAATCCCCTCTACCTCTACCGCTATGACAGCGTTTCCTCCGAGGCGTCGCTACTCGGCCAGGAGAAACTGGCATCCCGGCATTCCGGTGGTCGAGCTGCTCCAGTGCTCCCCAAGCGCTCGATCTCCCTACCCCAGACCAACGAGTCGGCCAACGCTGCTTCGGCTCCTCCGCGTCCACCCTTACCGCGCAGTATTTTGCGCAAAAATAGAGCCGCTGCCGCTGCCGCTGCTGGCAAACGATGCAGCATGTTCGAGATGGGCCAGCTGAACGAGGAGAGCGGAAGGACCAGTAGGGCCGGCCAGGAGAGCAAAAGGATGTCCCTGCAGGAGCCCTACTACATGAACAACGACATGCAGGTGCTGAGACACGCGGCTGTCGTTGACTCGGAGAAGGACATTGACGAAGCCGAGGAGAGACTGAGATTTGGTGAGTATTCCGCCTACGTAATATGTCATATCGATTATTACCTAGGAGCCTGTGCTATTTTCGGACTTGAAGGCGTATTGTTTCATCCGATTTTAGAGAATGGGGCGAAGGTGGGAACTGACCTCCGCGAATGTATATTATGTACTCCTACGTATGAGCTCAGGATCGATTTTTTTTTTCTTATCGAATGAGACATAATTAAATCGGTGTGTATGATTGACTCGCTAGCCTTGAGCGAGTGTGAAGATATTTGAATCTTTAATTTGTCGCGTACGTTTTACTTTCTATGCATATTTAACGAGTAGTTTATTTTTGGTGTGTATCTCGAAACTAGTATGAGACACCTGTGAATTCATCATAAAACGCAAGAAATTCAAGTATTGGGGAAGGATATGATATGCTTCCTTAAACTTTTCAGAGAGGATGAGGGTTTTGGAAGACGAGGGTCTGGTGAGTAGTGGCGATGACATGAGACAGCTCGAGGAGTTCCTGAAACGCAGCGGATTCTCGTCTCACAGCAGCGATGCCGACAGTGATCAGGACGCTGACCTGAAGCTGAGATCTTGCGTTAGGAGGTTCCTTGCCCTCAGGGTGAATAAGGACATATCGAAAATCATCGAAGGGACTGATTTGCAGAAAAAGACCGTTAGTTTTGCTGTCAACGGCAGTCATCTGGACACTACAAAGGTACTTTTGTGTTTTTTTTTTTTTTTTTTTTTTTTTTTTTTTTTTTTTTTTTTTTTTTTTTTTTTCATATTGGGGGCCCTATCCTTTGAGCGTGTTAGAACTAATGGAGCTTTTTGATTAATTGAGAAGGGTTTATGTCATCCTTCCCTTGCGTGTACCACGTGCCTGTGAATACCCAAGACAGAAGTTAGTATTCACACGCACTACGCGCAAAATGAACCCTTTTCAACTAATCAAATGGATTCTTTAGCTCTATTTAGATTAGTGGTCAAACGCGTTCAACACACCCCAGACAATTACGACAGCCTACTGTCCTAGTCTTCGAAGTCACCCACTCACCATCAATGTATTGCCGCACCCTCACTTCCTGATACCATACCCATCATACCATAGGTACAGTGAGAGTTTCTTCGGTAAGACTTGTAACCGTGCAGTCACACGTCTTGACAACTAAGTTGGCCCCTTCTGCACCAATAGTGCATCGGGTCCACTCGTCATTGTGTATAGTCTTTTCCCGGAGTACACTTCAAATCAGGTGTCCCCAGACTCATTATCTCAGGTGTCCACTCCTCGCTGGTCAAGCCGGCGCTCTCTACCAGAGCGTGGGATCCAGGCTAAACAGCATCCCCGACGGAGCCCCATGTTTCAGGGACCGATCCTCGCTAGTGAGCTCGGTATTTCCTGCCCGAAGTCCGGCATAGAATCTCATAATCCCTACCTGAAGCCCTAACACTGTTTCCTATTCACCATGCAGATCCAAAGATCTGTAGGGCAAGAAAAAAACTTGGCTCATCTCACGTTTTTTGCAGCAAAACATCGGTATGGACGACAGTAAGGAGCATCTGAACGTGAGCGAGTACGTTGATTTAAATCTGGAGCAACGGAACCTAGATCTGGAGGAAAAGAAAAGTGGGTAGAAAAATATGACCATCTCATGGTATCGGAACAAAGTTGTCGAAACAGTATTCTAACTGTCCCGTTTTTCCCCAGAACTCATATGGCCGGTGAGCAAATCAGTGGACGCACTGATGAACTTCTGGAACAGCGAGCCGGTGCGCAGCCGGCAGGGCTACAACGACAAGAGCGAGTGCTCCCAGCTCTGCTTGGGCCAACTCTGCCCGGCCCTTTACACCATCATGTCCGACGGACTCAAGCCACACCTCGGCTCGACCTTCGGACCCATTGCCAACAGCGTCTGGCAAGTGGTCGAGGCGTCCTCCCAACAGGGACCACTTACAAAGACACTAAACGACCTAGTCCAGAAGATCAACGGCGAGGACTTTATCACCGAGGGCATGCTCAAGTTCCATGCCTTCGTCTTTGGATTGCTCAAGTGAGTTTTTCTCAGTTTTTTCTATTCACTTTGTACTTTCGATGCGTGTTTGGATCGAATCGCCCAAGTTGGTGGAATAAGTCATTGAGAGACGCCGACTAGAGGTTGAAAAATGGCTCGCTATTGTTTAAAGAGAGCGATGCATGCTAGTTCCTATCGATCCAAAAACGATTGCCCAACAATACCGGAACAAACCCGTTTTCATCCGTCCAACTGTTTATCATTAGTTTGCGTGCACTCGACGCTTGGTTCGCGTATCTGTGCACGCGCGAGTCCATCCTGCGCAAGCACTACAACAATAGCAGTCTACTCGTGGGGGCTTTGAGCTGTCCCAACAGCCGGAATCTCGTCGAGGATTTCCTCAACATCCTCCAGCCTCTGGCCTTTTGCCCATTCCAGCTGGACCTGCTCTACCAGTATAGGCAGCTGCACAACAGCTTCGGCCAGGCCAACGCCATCAGCCACCATCAACCTCATCACCTCGAGTCAGCACCCATAACGACGACACCGACCAAGAGCAACAAGGCCCAGACCAGGCCAATGTCCTGCGGTGGGTTGCTTTACTGTGACGCGAGATCGCAGGATCAGGACGAGGAAGTTAAGAGAAGATGGAGCCAAGTTCCGCTTGGCGCTGCAGCCGCGGCCAAGTTCCACGTTTTTGAGAGGCTCGAGGATTCAGACGATTACACTGATTCCCTCGAACATTCGCCATTGAACCGAGCTAGTCCCAGGAGAAACCCTCCCACCAAGCTGCAACAGCAGCAGCCATCCAAATTGGCAGATGAAAAGTCGCGACGAGACAAGGCGAACGACGACGCGTCAGTCGCAGTGGTGTCTCCCGGTGAGAACAAGTTCCGCAAGCTCCAGGAAAAGTGGGAGCACTTTGGCCGTGACGACGTTAACACGACCGCCATCAGTCCCACCAACACAACCACCACGACCATTCCCAGCCCGAAAGATCCTCACGCTCCCGCGTCCCCATCTACACCCACGCGTTCCGCCAAGTCCAAAATCCCGCGTCTCCTCCTCACATCGCCCACCAAGACGCCCTCCAATCTCCCCGTTCCCGTCAAGTCCGCCAAGTCCCCTTCGGGCATCCCATCCCTGAAAAAACCCGGAGTCCCCAAGATGTCCCCAGCCGCGAAAAAGTCACCGGAACCGAGGAACAACTGCAAAGACTCCCCAAGGCGAACGAGCAGACTGGACCAGGAGAACACGGGCACGCCTAGGCCACACCTAACCAGGCCCAGCTCGCTGCCGTACAAAACGTATGGCTCGAGCGCCAAGGAGAAGAGCACCGTATCGCCGCACAGGCGAGCCGCGTCCACCTCCCTCCCGAGGCCCCACTCCATCGCCGGACCGCCCAGGAACCTACCCCTAAAGCAAACTCCAAAGTAAGGTTTTACTCATTCCTTCTTTCTTTTTTTGTGTTATTTTTTCCAAGGACTGTCTGTTAATCCGATTTGTTTCCGAAACAGGAGCGTGAGAACGCTGACGAGCAAACCGCAATCGGTGGACGGCCACCTGTCGTTCAACGAAGGTGACAAGCTCAAGGTGATCCTCGAGGTGGACGGCAAGTGGTTGCTGTGCGCGCGGGGCGAGCGCAAGGGTTTGGTGCCGCGCAGTTGCGTCAAGCCGTGCCCGACTTAGCAGCCCAATGGCGCCGCTGGTGTTACTACTCTAGTCCACTCTGATGCCGGATCGTCGTCGGCGACTTGTTGTACATAATACCTACTTATATATCTTATACTTATGATGGAAATTGCGAGGATCGCGCGGGCGGGTGCGATTTACGATGAGCTCCTCTGATGATGTTGTGTATGGTATCGAGGAGCCCTCCGATCGCTCGTCTATACTGTATTTTAATCGAAAGAGGGGACGGAACTGAGAGCGCGCCCGTGACAAACTATACAATAATATTCTAATGCTATTATTGCACTTGAAATGTTGTTATTATTATTATTATAATATTATACATAAAATATTATGTAGACGATGATTAGAAAAACAAACAAGATTTAGTGATTGGATGATTATGACGTGTTGATCATATGAAATTAAATGATGATGATGCTTCGTTTATACGTATATTGACGAAAATATATACATAGTTTTGTGAGTGAGAGCAAGGGAACAACACGACGTATATATGCATACATGTTTTTTATTATGGTTATAGCTGAACTGATGATTTTTCGACGGTAGATTATTATTACTACTACAAATATTATTATTATTATGATTATTGCCGATCGAGAGTAATATATGATAAATTATCGTATTATTATCATAAAGATTATTATAATTAATATTGTATCGATCGAGAATCAAAATGGGCACATATATGTAAGCGAGGGAACGATAAAAGGAGTATAGCCGCTAGTCAAGAAAAAAAAAAATAAATTAACAAAACCCTTATTTGAAGAGAGAATAATAAAAACCAGAATGTATTTAATTGATTCCGAGCATGCAATTATTTATATAACCGTAATGTACATAATATACAGCAAGAGTCATACACGTAACTTGGGAGATGAGAGTAAAAATGAACGATATAGAGATTAACGATTAGTAAGAATAATATAGAAGATAAAACAAGAAAACACGAGTAATAACTTATATAATATATATATATTATATACTATGTATAAATGTAACTGTGATGATAGCTTTTAGACGAATAAGTTTTCCGACAGAAGTCTTGGAAAGAAGAATATTATTCTACGTAATCTCTGAACATACTTATTGTTTAAAAAAAGAAGAAAGAAAAATCTCGTACTCTTTTCCCAATTTTTCGTTGTACATACGTAGTAAGTATATAATGTTGCGTATTTTCAATGGAGTATTTTATTTCCCAGTAACCGTCTCGAGAACTTGACATTAGACGTACGCGATTATGGTCGTTTTTTTGTTATTGCTTTTTAATGTTAATTATTATTATTTGGCACATATCAGCAATTCAAAAGCTGTGCTGTAATTTTTTTCTCAATTATTGTCGGGTATTATTTTTATTTCCATCGTAATACTGTAATCTTAATAATAAAAAAAGAAAACCAACAAAAAAAAGAAGAAAAATAAAATTCATAATGAAAAAAATAGCTTCGGCGCCATTGTAACACCTAAAATCAGTACAGGCGTCCTGTGTTTTTTACTCGCTTTGTGTATTCCTCGGCATGTGACGAAAGTAGGGAGTATTACTAAACTAATAAAATTTATCTCAAGCATTAATTAGCTGTTGTACTCTTATTTCAAAATACTTAGACCTTGGCTTGAAAATTATTGCGCAAAATACGATGTGTAACAAAAAGTATTTAAACCATACCTAAATGTGAAATGAACTTCACGCAGTGTAACAATTTAAAAAAAAAATATTTGCAATGAAAGTCAAGGGCTTTATAGAGCTTGCTTTTGCGGTACAGATTCCTAGTCGATCATTCAATCAAGGGGTACCGCGGAAGAGGTGGACGCGGCTCATCTGGGCGACCACGAGTAAGTACACTGCTATCGTTGTAGTGCTTGCGCAGGATGGACTCGCGCGTGCACAGATACGCGAACCAAGCGTCGAGTGCACGCAAACTAATGATAAACAGTTGGACGGATGAAAACGGGTTTGTTCCGGTATTGTTGGGCAATCGTTTTTGGATCGATAGGAACTAGCATGCATCGCTCTCTTTAAACAATAGCGAGCCATTTTTCAACCTCTAGTCGGCGTCTCTCAATGACTTATTTCACCAACTTGGGCGATTCGATCCAAACACGCATCGAAAGTACAAAGTGAATAGAAAAAACTGAGCAAAACTCACTTGAGCAATCCAAAGACGAAGGCATGGAACTTGAGCATGCCCTCGGTGATAAAGTCCTCGCCGTTGATCTTCTGGACTAGGTCGTTTAGTGTCTTTGTAAGTGGTCCCTGTTGGGAGGACGCCTCGACCACTTGCCAGACGCTGTTGGCAATGGGTCCGAAGGTCGAGCCGAGGTGTGGCTTGAGTCCGTCGGACATGATGGTGTAAAGGGCCGGGCAGAGTTGGCCCAAGCAGAGCTGGGAGCACTCGCTCTTGTCGTTGTAGCCCTGCCGGCTGCGCACCGGCTCGCTGTTCCAGAAGTTCATCAGTGCGTCCACTGATTTGCTCACCGGCCATATGAGTTCTGGGGAAAAACGGGACAGTTAAAATACTGTTTCGACAACTTTGTTCCGATACCATGAGGTGGTCATATTTTTCTACCCATTTTTCTTTTCCTCCAGATCTAGGTTCCGTAGTTCCAGATTTAAATCAACGTACTCACTCACGTTCAGATGCTCCTTATTGTTGAGCAGCATCATGTGCTCCCGGACGACCCTGCGGACCCTTGCTGGTACTGGTGTTATGGCAATACTCAAATCCTACAACACCAAAAGCCCAAGTACCATTAATTTGACTGCTGATTTTGTAGGGTTTGAGTATCACATTATCGTACGACAAGTGCTTGAGATCGCCCCAGGTCGTGTAAATGGCCTTTTTGTTGTCGCAGTAGGAGGCGTTTTGATGGTGATTGTCACCCACGTGGGCCTTACTGCTTTGCTTGTTATCTGCGAACAGCGGACCAATGCCTTCTGTGTTTGAGCATCGCGTCGTTAACAGAGTTTCGGCTGTTTTAGTATACGATTTCAGTCGTTGTAGTTAACGGATTTACAATTTTTTTTTTTTTTTTTTTTTTTTTATCTGCGAACAGCGGACCAATGCCTTCTGTGTTTGAGCATCGCGTCGTTAAAAGAGTTTCGGCTGTTTTAGTATACGATTTCAGTCGTTGTAGTTAACGGATTTACAATTTTTTTTTTTTTNAGAGGCACACACACGCACACACACACCTATCATGTATAAATTACGTAAATGGGCCCATAATTCGTTAGTTAAATAAATAAATAATCTCCGCACTGTCCAGGTCGACTCGGGTGAGATATCCAGCAGCCGAGATATCGACCTCACCTTGTCCTCCGACAACAAGCTACAGAACATCAGCCTCATCCGGATGTTTATGGAGCGAAAGAGTCTGTTCGACCAGACGGACTCTGGCAGCGAGACTGGCTGTCCTACCAGCAGCCACAACGGTGTCGGCTCTGAGAAGCAGAGCAACAACGGAAGCAGCAATTTCTCGACCTCGTCACCGAGGAATACGCAGGTCGACCGCAACACCACGACCAACGTGAGCATACAGGTGGGGACCGAGGTAGAGGACAATAGCGTGCAAACGTCGCTGATCTATCCAGCGCCCGGCGAGCGGACATTAGCCGGCCGGTCACCGGTGCGCGAGACCCAGTGTAGAAATCGGTGTGGTAAACAGAAGACTTATTGGACACTAATTATTTTATTTAGAAATTAATTTTTTTCTTCGTATGTTAAGTTGATTATTTTTGTTTGAAAAAATGCTTTTTTCCAGTCTAAAGGATGATAATATTGTTCAATAAAGTCAAGTTTTTATACATTTTTTAATTGTCAGCTCTGAACTAACTCGACATTTTTTCTGGATTTGGGAGCCATCTTGACATCTCCAAACTGGAGCATCGATACTTTTTCGAATACTCTACGTTACACGTTTTTCCAAAAATACAATGCAATATTTATAACGCATACTAGATTAGGCGAGAAAAAAAATTAGGCAGGAAAAACGGTATAAGAAACGAAAATGCTTGATGACAATCTTCATACACTTACAATTATGTAAAACTGTAAGTTATTAATATTATATTGGAAGAAATGGAAAAAAGGCGTTATCAAACAAAAATAATGATCTTAAGATACGAAGAAAAAAAATTAATTTCTAAATAAAATAATTAGTGTCCAATAAGTCGCCTGTTTACCACACCGATTTCTACACTCATTAACGGCACAAAGTACTTTAATGTTTCCTGGTAACAGTAACTCCACACTCACACACAATACATCGTAGTACATTCTAGTGCAGCTCAAAATAAGTACATCGCCTAATCTTATTCCACTCGTCCCTACCTATACCTTATAACATTCCACCTAAAACGGCATGGCTAAATAACAAAAGATGGAAGAAAAAAAGTTTTCACTGTCCACTTCTTCCCAAGTAGGAAATCGAGTCTAAAGTGCAATTTAGAAAAGTACCATTATTGAATTTTCAATGATACGTCGTCCCTTTTCGGATACTAAACGTTTTTCAAAAAATGTAATCCAATGTTCCGAAAAAGAGATACTTCATTACTGCTTGGAACGCAGTAAATAAAAAATATATTTTCCCGCAACAGTTATGAGATATAGTCAGTAAGAACAATTTCTAAAAAAAGATGAAAAAAAAACAAAAAAACGTAATGATGAACTTTATTTCTTTAAAGTTTTATAAATCTGTTAAAATTTGTGTTCCATAGCGTAATGTACATGAAAATGAAAAAAAAAACTTTCTTTTAGCAAGTTATGACCTATACACTTTCACATACATTTGGTGTCTAATAAACTGTATGATAGTCATACCGATTTCTACACTCATTAACGGCACAAAGTACTTTAACGCTTCCAGGTAACAGTAACTCCACACTCACACACAATATATCGTAGTACATTCTAGTGCAGCTCAAAATTAGTACATCGCCTTATCTTATTCCACTCGTCCCTACCTATACCTTATAACATTCCACCTAAAACGGCATGGCTAAATAACAAAAGATGGAAGAAAAAAAGTTCGTGTAACAAAGAAACGTCCTAATAGTCTGTGGGCACGTGAAAAAAAAAAAAAAATTGTTTACGCTCAAAAAAAAAGATTGGAAAAACAGATACGGCATAATTGCCTCCAAACGGCCACTTAATGGTTCCATGAATTTCTCCAAAAACGAAAAACGCAGGGGGAGGACTCGGCCTGCTCGACGACGGACACGATATCCATCTGCAAGTCGTCATTGCTGTTCTCGCCAGTGAAGGAGATGCCGGTACTACCACCCGGAGGGAGCTACAGCGTGGATTCTCTCGATTGCGAGGACATGCTCATCACCTGCCAGACCAACAACAAGAACAACTACACCATCGCGTTCGAGGGCAGCATCGCCATGTACTCGGACGGATCGCAGGATTTCGATAATCAAGGTGAGTCGAGATTATATACTTTTGCAGCAACACCCCATTTCTTTTACTTTGGAAAAAAAAAAAAAAAAAAAAAAAAAAATTGTAAATCCGTTAACTATAACGACTGAAATCGTATACTAAAACAGCCGAAACTCTTTTAACGACGCGATGCTCAAACACAGAAGGCATTGGTCCGCTGTTCGCAGATAACAAGCAAAGCAGTAAGGCCCACGTGGGTGACAATCACCACCAAAACGCCTCCTACTGCGACAACAACAAGGCCCTCAACAACTACAAGAACATGACCCTCGATTTGTCGATGGCTCGCTCGGACTCGAAGATCTACACGACCTGGAGCAACCTAAAGCACTCGTCGATCGGCAAAACGATCTCGCGCCATCCTTCCGGAAATAACAACACAACGCCAAATTTTCTCCAGAGCAACATCAGCTGCACCGCGGGTCTCAGCGTCACCGGAGCTCCGATTTGTGTGGACGACGTTGGAGCATCTTTAGATTTTCTCAATAATAAGTCCAGATGCCAGAGCCTGCCAGACCTTAGCAAAGCTCGTGAACTCGAGCACGTCGAGATGGTGCCGCTTAATTTTCCTGTAAGTTTCTTTTTGGTTGCGAAATGAGTATTTTTCTGGTCGTTGTTTCGAATGTTGCCACCTAATAGTTATTTACGTAACAAGTGTGGAAAAGACGATTTTCCGCACGAGTAGTGATTGACTCACACGAGTGCCGGAGTTGACGGGAACGAGTACCAGTTGATCGCAAGGTACGAGTTACCGTCACCGGCCACGAGTGCGAGTCAATCACTACTCGTGCGGGAAATCGTCCCGCACGAGTTGCGTACAAGTTTTTTCGCAATGTGTGAGGAAAATAGGTACAAAATAGGTTTGAATTTTGATTTCCAGTGTGTAGCAAAATTTTTTCCGGTGTGTGGCAAAACCTTTTCCACACACCTTTTCCGCACACTTTTTCCACACACTGTGCGACAAAAACCTTTGCCGCACACCTTTGTCGCACACTATGTGGGAAAATCGATTTTCCACACTAAAACCAGTGCGGAAAACATCCATTTTTCGCACACTATTGCGAAAAAAAAATTACGTCAACAGTTAAAAATTATACATGTGAAAGTAGTTTTGTGTACCATAGGCGCAAAGTACAATTAAGGTGCCGGAAAAGCGTGGTTGATGTGTATTTCTCGCTGCAAATCCAAAAAATATTTCATCGAAATACGGATTGGAATAGAAAATTTAGATTTGTAGTGTTGTACCCGAGTTACTGGGGAAGTTTCGCGACGGTACCTCAGGTTCTATCCAAATTTAACAAAAAATGACCCGAGAAACGAAAAATTCTTATATTATTGAAAATTATATTTAATTTTTTGTAGCCTCCAAAGAGGCACACACACGCACACACACACCTATCATGTATAAATTACGTAAATGGGCCCATAATTCGTTAGTTAAATAAATAAATAATCTCCGCACTGTCCAGGTCGACTCGGGTGAGATATCCAGCAGCCGAGATATCGACCTCACCTTGTCCTCCGACAACAAGCTACAGAACATCAGCCTCATCCGGATGTTTATGGAGCGAAAGAGTCTGTTCGACCAGACGGACTCTGGCAGCGAGACTGGCTGTCCTACCAGCAGCCACAACGGTGTCGGCTCTGAGAAGCAGAGCAACAACGGAAGCAGCAATTTCTCGACCTCGTCACCGAGGAATACGCAGGTCGACCGCAACACCACGACCAACGCGAGCATACAGGTGGGGACCGAGGTAGAGGACAATAGCGTGCAAACGTCGCTGATCTATCCAGCGCCCGGCGAGCGGACATTAGCCGGCCGGTCACCGGTGCGCGAGACCCTCGTCAATGAGAAGCCGGTGTACGTGGTCTACCCAAACTACGCGCTACCGGATCTTTCGTTCCTCAACTCGTCGTACGAGAACGTGATACTAAAACCCTACGATGTCAGCAGCAGTCCAAATAACGTTCATTGCACAGCTGATGCTGTTGAGTATGAGTATCACAGTAGCACCAGCACCGGCAAGGGTCAGCACGCTAGACCGGCAGCTCCGCTTGGAGGCCGGCCATACTCTTGCGGCGACATCGACGCCCTTAGGCAGCGCGGATTCTCGCACGTCAAGGACTGGGAGTCGCTGACCTTCCTCCTGCCAGCCGAGTTTCGCAGAGTCGTCTTGCGCGACCTTCCCGAGGTGCCGGAGCACGTGAAGCTGCTCGACGAGGAGATGGAGTCCTCCGGTTACGGGGGCTCCTCTACCGTCTTGACCGACTCTGACCAGGAGACGCAGGTATCCCCCAGATTTGGTGAGTATACGTGTTGTCATTGTTGCCGCACGTGTTTTACTTCCTATACTGAATTCTAAAGGATGTGTACGTCTGGTGTCTTTAGTATAACTGTCCAGCAAGTCGGAGATCGCGTTATTTTACTGGATAGTTTATAAAATTAGAATAGCGTACGTAGATTACAATAGTTCCATTTAGAATTCATCTTAGAACACAAGAAATGAAACATAAGAGGGGAACATATGACATTTTGTTTAAATTTTCCAGAGAGAACGACAGTGTTGGAAGACGTGGATCTGGTGAGTAGTGGCGATGACGTGATGCAGCTGGATGACTTCCTAGAGAACAGCAGCTTCTCGTCTCACAGCAGCGATGCCGACAGTGATCAGGACGCGGACCTGAAGCTGAGATCTTGCGTCAGGAGGTTCCTTGCCCTCGGGGTGAATAAGGACATATCGAAAATCATCGAAGGGACTAATTTGAAAAAAAAAAAAGTTACTTTCGGAGAAACCATCATTATAAACGACAATGAGGAGCGCCTTAAAGTTAGCGAATACGCTAATGTGAATCTGGAGCTGCGATCTCGATATCTAGAGGAAAAGAAAAGTGGGTAGAGAAATATGAACATATCTCATGGCATCGAAACAGTATTCTAACAGTCCCGTTTTTCCCTAGAACTTGTACGTCCGGTGAGAAAATCAGTGAACGCATTTATCAGTTTCTGGAATAACGAGCCGGTACACAGCCGGCAAGGCTACAACAGCTTTGAGCTCTGCTCTCAGCTCTGCTTCGACCATCTTTGTCCGGCCCTTTATAACATCATGTCCGATGGACTCAAGCCAAACCTCGGCTCGACCTTCGGACCCATTGCCAACAGCGTCTGGCAAGTGGTGGAGGCGTCCGCCCAACAGGGATCACCTATGGAGACACTTAATGACCTAGTCCAGAAGATCAACGGCGAGGACTTCATTAACGAGCTCAAGTTCCATGCTTTTGTCATTGAATTGCTCAAGTGAGTTTTTCTCAGTTTTTTCTATTCACTTTGTACTTTCAATACGTGTTTGGATCGATACGGGATGCAAGAATCGCTCAATTTGGTGACAAAATTATCGATATGTGGCGATTAAAAATGTCTCACTATTGTTTAAAGAGAGCGATGCATGCTAGTTCCGACTTATCGATCCAAAAACGATTGCCCAATAATAACGGAACAAACCCGTTTTCATCCGTCCAACTGTTTATCATCAGTTTTCGTGCACTCGACGCTTGGTTCGCGTATCTGTGCACGTGCGAGTCCATCCTGCGCAAGCACTACAACGATAGCAGTGTACTCGTGGGTGCTTTGAGCTGTCCCAACAGCCGGAATCTCGTCGAGGACTTCCTCAACATCCTCCAGCCTCTGGCCTTTTGCCCATTCCAGCTGGACCTGCTTTACCAGACCTTCGCCATCAGTCCCATCAACACAACCACCACAACCACTCCCAGCCCGAAGGATCATCAAGCTCCCGCGTTCCCATCGACACCCATGCGTTCCTCCAAGTCCAAAATCCCACGTCTCCTACAGACATCGCCTACCAAGACACCATCTAAATCTAAACTCCCCGTTCCCATCAAGTCTTCCAAGTCCCCTTTGGGCATCTCATCCCTGAAAAATCCCGGAGTCCCTAAGAGGTTCCCAGCTGCGAAAAAGGCACCGGAACCGAGGCAAACGAGTAGACCGAGCCAAGAGAACATGGACATCGCAAGGCCACACCTTACCAGGCCCTGTTCTTTGCTGTACAAGACGTACGGCGCGAGCGCCAAGGGGAAGAGCACCGTGTCGCAGCACAAGTGAGCCACGCCCACCTCCCTCCATACGCCCTGGACCACCAAACACTTATACCTAAGCTTGAAAATTTTTGTACAAAGTAAGATGTAAAATAAGTATTTAAAATAAATTCTACGGAATGTGTTAGTTTTAAAAAAAATGTTTAATACTAAAAATATTACAGTACATAATAATACATTTAAATTGTGCCTACGCTATTGCATGATTCGTTCCTTTAATCCACTTGTTCGAGCACAAACTTTAAATTAATGTTTTTTTTTTACCTGCTCATTCATCTTGTATAATCTACATTGAATACCCTGGAATATAAAGAGCTTGACATTTGACAGGCTCTACAAGCTTGATGTAGTTTTACTCTGAGAAAGAAGAAAAAACCATTTTTTGTTACACATGCTTTATTTCAATTTTATTATAAAATCGATGATAAAACCATTTTGCTGCTTCAATTGAAGTCTCATAGTCTTACTCTAACAGACATAAAATGATTAGTTGTTTTTTTTTATTTCATTTTTTTATTTTTGTTTTAATAATACTTCATTAAAAAAAAATCGTTAAATTGGTCAACAACACAAATAATTCATCAGTTGTTCTTCGTCAGTTATTGGATAAAGACGAAGAATTTGCTTGTATTCCTTTTTTTGGAGAACACTTCTATACAAATTTTTACAAACAAAAAAAGCAAACACGCTTCATCTATACATTTAAGTATACTTCATTTGTGTGTACGTGTGTGTACGCCTGTTAAATTATATAAAAATTGGTGATTTTTTTCTCGCATCTTTAATTTTGCTACTCATCACGAAAAAAGATGAATTCATGTAAAATTGCATTCGTTCCTTTCACTGCGTATGAAAAAGCTTTGAGGAAAAATATTTAGTCCATTTGCACAAATATCCTTAAAAAAAAAAAAAAATCATAAAATTCACAATGTCAATAAGTTAATAAAGCTAATTAAATGTTTCAATTTTTCCGTTTCAAAGCAACTGTTTAATGTTTAGCTAGATTAATTTTATTTGGCTCTTCATACGGGCTTAATATTTTTCCTCCAATTATTTTTGTCATTTTAAATTTCATTTACAGTCAACCTTATACACTCTCGACTAGGGCGCGGACAAAGAATAATATCGTCGTCAAAGTCTTTGTATCATTATACCACAATCATATTGTATATGTGTACACATACATGATAAGATATATACTTAAAAAATGATCTTTCTCCACGTTATCCTCATTTTCGTTATATATACATTTAGTTTATGTATATATACATGTATTTATATAGTCGATAATTTGTGTGGTTGTTAATATTGTTGTTATAAATTTTTTTTTTCTTTCCATAAAAATTAACTATGAAACAAATCGCTTAATAGTACAATGTCGCTTACTTTAACTAAATTAACAACAAGTTTCGACAACACGCTGCCATTCAAACCCTCGTCACGTGCGATGGTCATCATACAACACTTGTAATGTATTTTTACGTGTACACTACATGATTTAAAAATGTAAAAGAATTGCCGGTTTTGAAAAGACGAAAAAAAATAACAATAATATTTAAAAAATGAGACGAGTTCGCGTAAAACATATTTTCGCACATTGCACACCCACACGTCTGAAGATCGATGAATTTCACGTGTTATATTTATACGTGGGCAAAAATCGCCTCCTTACGAATTATTTCTCTCGCGATGTGTATGTTTGTGTATTAGTGGTCGCCCCACCGGAATCGGTGCGTTTATTTTTAGTCGACTCGTCGCGGTCGTCAAGCCGAACCTTCCATACTGAGCCGCTATTGTCTAACTCTCTTACTCTGCGCGAGCTATATCTGCATTTGTACATTCATACATATTTTAGGCGATAAATTAGAAATTAGATTTAGCCGAGTGCGTTTGAAATGAACGATTATTTAATTATATTACTTTTCACCCACATTCTTTTTTTTATTTTATTTTTGTTTTCGTATAAAAATTGGATAAAAATTGTACTCTGTCTTTTAATTTCATCACAGTCGAGTTTCATTTTTTTTTTAATATTTTTTATTTTTTTATTTTCACACTTCAAGAATCGCACGAAAATGAAACCTTAGCGACTTTTTTTTTCTGTTAGCGGATTAATATAGAAGGCAGTGAGCATTGACTTTATTTTCCAGCACAGAAGGCTTCTATAAATCGAAAAAATTGCTCTTCATTCGTGGGTGCGAGTGTGCATAGGCGATTAGTATGTTATGATTACAACTAAAATTTAAAATCGATTCAAACGTTTTGTTAAAAAGCTATATATGTACAACTTATGAAAATTAACAGTAAATATATATATGTATGTATACGCTTTATAACCAAAATTCATCATTTCTCATATGTATATAATATATGTACAAAAACTTCATGTTATACAATAACGTAAAAACTTACCAATAATTTTTGTTTCTCTCACTCTTTTTTTAATACGTGATTTTCTTTTTTTTTTTTGTTTGTTCTACAGGATCTAAGAAATTTTATTCACATCTGATCAATCCTCTCATACCTATAACATCGATTATCTGCTTTGATGATTTTGTATATTATAGAGCCGGTGAATGGTACACACGTCGTTTTAGCTCTGATATATCATATGAACATCGGACAGGCATCGTTGTCGTTTAGAAAAATATAAATTTTTCAAACAATCAAATCGTAATCAGAAAAACCACACCTACAATCTACCTAAAGCCACACGTTTAATAAAATTACGTCAAACATTCATTGACAGCTTTGAAAGAAAAACATTTTTTTCCCCCAAAAGGAGCAGAACATACACATACACCAAGAGATGATTGCCCGACGTACGTGTGTTTTCTTTGCACTCTTTGTTTTCACTATACAGCCTATAACACATCTCGTGGAGCTGATAAAAATACGCTTGTCGTATGTACTTGTGTGTACTACTCCGGTGTAGCCCGATATGTCTGTGAGCCCTCCAACATTACAGAAGTTAAGAGCAACGCAATCATTTATTTATTTAATTGTTCATCCAACAAGCCTTGCGCACATTTTTGTGAACAATTTGTTCATATCGGTATTTTATACGTTATACCTATACTTACACTTAGCTATACACACGATTCCTTTTTGCGTATTTTACAAACCTATATAAATGATAATTCGGGCTTTGTATGAGAAAAAAAAAAAAAAATCGCAAACGTGTCCAACATTAACATGAGTGTGTAATTATAGTTTCTGCTTTTAATTTGGCACTGTTTGAAGCCAGCGTTCGGTATAGGATAGCAGAATACGAAAACCACTCGACACTCGAAGCTATTGTGCATTCACGCTTCAAGTTAAATGTTGAAATTAATACAGGTCATTCGAGACGCGACGTAAAAATAAAAATTTTAGTAGAAGCTTTGATCGATGTTAAATGTAATTAGGAAAACTTAAAGGCAAGATTTATCGTATGGACACGATTATTGCGCACTTTGGAAGACGAACGAAGGATCGTCGGCATTGTTTACTTATTTTTTTTTTTTTTACACGAGAGTTTATGTAAAAAAATGGGGCGGACATTGCTTTTCGAGTTTGCGTTTGTACCGTGTTGCACATCTGTCAAGGATTCAGCCCAACAAAGTCAACGTGTTTTTTTCTCTTACATTTCACCTCTCAAAAACAATAATACTCCTCATTATTGAATGATGAAGATAAAAAAGTCATGTTATAAAAACCAAAGGTTAAAGTCGAAAATTTTTCTGCTTTTTTATTCGTCTTTGTAATTTTTTAAATAAATTTTTAGGTTTTTTTTTTTTTTTTTTAATTGACGAAAAAAATTAACGAATACTTCGAAGCAGTCCAATGTGTCATTTTCGCTGTGGGTAATGAGAAAAAACGAGCATCGAAGACTTTTCGATGATTGAGCAATTTATACGAGTAATTGTGATTTCTCGTGGCATTGTCAATCGGCTGCGCGGTTGTGTCCACCAGGTACATTGTAACAAGATTTACAACTGCAATATTAAATATTTTCTGTCTTTTTCCTGGTTTTTTTTTTCCCCCAACTGTTCTCGTACTTAATGGCTTTTCAAGGAAAATGTAACCAAATGTTTCACAAAACACCAAATAATTTTGATTAATTTAAAATTACTACCTGATGGCATTGTTTTTTAAACATGGATCCATTGCGTTACAAATTCCTTAAAAATAACGGCTTCAACAGTTTCGAAACAGGCCTATTTAATGAGTTCTATTAATGGGAAACGAGGAATGTATTCATCATTTAAAAAATTGATAACGTGATTGTTGTTTGCATTAGGCCATAAAAATATTCGCTGTATTCACACAAACGTGTTTCTGTGCTTACGATGTAATTGTTTTATGTACAAAGCACAATGGGCTATACGACACGGAGACTAATAGTTTATTATCAAACAGATGTTGATAATGATGAGTGCAAGACGATAAAACCAAAGTCTAACTATCGACAAGTTCGTTGTTTCCCATTAATGAAGTTATCGATATAGTTTTCTTACTTTTTTTAAAAGTATAGCCGTCAGTTTCTGCTAATTTGAATCAGCGTATTGTTAACTCAGAATTAACAGAAACATATTGAAAACTGTTACCTCGTCATTTAGTGGTCCATAAAAAACAATAAACATGAACAGTTGTGCACTGGTAGAAAATTAAATAAGACTTAACAGCTACGCTGAATCAGAAATTCGTAAATATAATACATACGCGCGTGCACCGGTTGCAATATTTTTACATACTAGACTCCTTGGTGATGAGAGGTTCACTTGCGTTGTCGACGCGAATGAGGGTCGACGAATTGAGTATAGTTGTCCTGCTTAGGCACGCCACCCGTTCCATTACACAAGAGGCTGAGAGTCGAGCCTCTGCGTCGTGGTCCCAACACTCTTCCATAGTGTCACAGATGGCCAGTAATCCCTAAAACAGAGATATTACGTTTAAAAAAAAAATCATCATTTTTATTTATTTCAAGTCTTGCATACTTTTGAATGAGTTTCGTGTCAGTTAAAACAAATATTTTAGCAGAATCGTTTATTTTCAGAATTAATAAAACCTTGAAGTACGCATAGATCTAATTTGAGTAACTTACCGGGTGTTTACGCCAAGTTTCCAATATTAAAGGCCTTTCTTTTTTCGCTACTACACATTCTTGCATGTCTTCGAGTGAAGGGTGTAGGCCAATTTCTTCTTCGAAAGGTAGCCTGTATTCACCGATTGGTCCCTGAAAAAGAAAAACCCATTGCAAAGTTATTGTCTGGTTTTTTTTTCTCTCTTCGGAAATGCTTGCATTCAGAATAATACTAACATCTTGCGCGGTACAACGTGAGGCAAGTTCCCAGAGTACGAGACCGCAGGCGTACATATCGATACGCAGAAAAGAGTCTCTGGTAAAATTAATTGCACCCTCGAGCACTTCGGGGGCCATGTATCGGCGCGTGCCCACCTGACCGTGGGTATCACCGCACGGCTTCCCAGGATGGAAGATCAACGCTAGTCCAAAGTCAGCTATGCAAGCAGTCATATCATTCTTTAACAGAACATTTTTAGATTTAAAGTCGCGGTGTGCAACTGCAGGTTTGTAACCATCGGCCTTGTTGGCTGGTATTTCTTCGTGCAAGTGCATCAGACCTCTAAAAAAGCATTAAAAAGCATTTAAGTACATCAGATAGTTGTTGTTTATGTTAATAAAACGTTTAGTGAACGAGATGGACGTACCTTGCCATTGACTCAGCGATCCTGCACATTTCTGGCCACGACACAACGTTTGCCTTGAGGTAGTCACATAGCGAGCCTTTCTCATGGTAGGCTGTGATGAGCCAAAACTCGATAAGAACGCTGTCACCGCGTTTCTCCACCCCAATAAAGCGCAATATATCCTCGTGGTCCATGTGTGCAAGCTTAAAGATTTCCTGCTCAGTTACCCATGATTGTTTATCTTGTTGGGGAAAAACTTTGACAGCAACAATTTCGGAGTGAAGTTTGGCTTTCCATACAGCTCCAAAACGACCACGTGCTTTTATTTCCACTAGCTGGATAGGCCGGTTGCCGAGATTCGGCGAGGGTTGGGATATAGGGCCTGGCTCCATTGTTGGGATCTGAAAAATTCCGTTTAGTGATTTGTTTACGGGTTTTTTTTTTATTGTAGTTGATCTAAATTGCTTACTTACCTCGTTAAAGTATCCCAACTTTTTACGCCGGCAGTAATAGAACACGGAGAATATGAAAATTAAGAACAATAACAGAGCAGGTATCGATATCAGCATCATGAACGTAAATAATTGTTGTTCCGTGTTTGGAACTGGTTCATATTCTGAAATTAAATCGTAAAATATTAATTATACACATATGTTAGAAGAAGTGGCGTTTCAATCGGTAATAAAATATATGCCTTGCACAATGGGAGGGGGAATAGTGGGCTGTGGGTCCCAGGAGAAGTTTCTGTTACACATATTGCCGTCACAGCAACAGAAAAAATGTTGCTTCTTTCTGTCAGCATTTTTCTCAACGCAACGCTGTTTATCATAGCATTCTTTGCTATCTAAAAAGCAACCCTGGAAAAAAAAATACATCAATTTTTGGACGAAATTAATTTATTTGACCATTTTAAAGTACGAACCTTCAATTTTGTCGTAGATTTCTGTGTAACGCTGTCATATTGCCACAGGACGTAGCAGTGGTTACGTTTATCAGGATCATGGGGTCCACACATTTCTTTTTCCACGCAGTCTTCTTTAAATTCCCCTCCACACATCGTTTCATTGTAGAACTCACAGTAAGTCGATCCTTTGACATCGTGAGCACTAATTGGGCCTGAAATCGTATGTTGTATTAAAACAATCATATTTACAATTCATGCTTTAAAAGTTCCCACTAAAACAAAATAATGTGGTAGTTTTGATTTAGAATTTAAGAGCTTAATTATGATGATTCCGTTTTCTTAGCAACAATGTTGCTGTAATTTCTAAACATGTAAAGGATCTCTTTGTCCTGTTGTAAACAGATAACTACAATTGGAATTTATTTGACTCATATTAGCATTTGCAATTCAATAGAGGAGTTCAACTGTGGGGCATTTATCAAGTAGTTAAAGAGTTTTTATGAAAGATAAACAGCTATTACATCAAATCACAGTTGACTGCAAGGGAAGCTAGAGTTACACTCTAATCTTTCATTTGATAAACCCAAAGAGCTTGTGTGTATCAAAACAAGATCACAGATAATCATCATCAGTGAGACACTACACTTCCTAACACAGAACTTTAACTATGCTGGTACTCATCACATAACTCTTTGGCATTAATTTTCATCTAATTTAAATAAACAATTGCGATCACACTATGACACAAGTGTATCCAAAAAAATTCTCAATCTAATGGCACATTGAATCAAAGACAAAAAATTAAATCAGAAGGTCCCATGTACAAGCAAAATTGTGAAAAAAATAAATAAATCAGAGGTAAAAAAGTCTAGAACTCACCCAATAGACCAAGGATGATGCAGAGCAGTGTAACGATATAGACGCTCATCGTGGAAGGCTAGTTGAGAATCACACAGCATCAAACACAACTATAAAATAACGACGACAGCAACAGCATCAGAATCTCCGAGTCTTATTAGCCATTAAGCAAATTGCAGAGAGAGAGAAAGAGAGTTACAACGAGAGATATGTAGAGCTTGCGCGCGTGTGCGACTGACTGGTTGCTCAATTTTCATGTGTCGGTAGTAGTAGTAGCAGCAGCAGCCGTCATCCTCTCGATCATCATCATCACGATCGTAATCATCATCGCTTTCCGTTATTGATGCTGCGTCTCTTCCGCGAGCCGTCCACGTCTTGTTCCTCTCTTTGCGGAATCATGTCATGTATCTTTTTCTCTCAGAACACTCCTCTCGTCATCGTCCTCCTCTATGTGTCTCCCTATATCCTATCTATGGTTCGTTGCCTCCTCCTTTTCACAAATAGGTGCAGATACGCGCACATACGCAAAAATAGTACGGTAGTAGGGTACTATACGTAACGTACCCTCTGTACTCTGTACACTGCACTTGTAGGTATAGGTATACCTGCGTTTATCCGTTGAGAGCTTATTTTATCCGTTCCCTACCCTCTCATATCCGCTCGTAAACGGGAGTAGGAGGATGAGGAGGAGCGAAGAGTGGGAGCTTGTGTTTTGATTTTTATGGAAAGCGTTTCTCTCTCTCTTTTTTTCTATTAGCCCAGCAATTCAGTACCAACATCCACCAACAGCAGCAGCGACGAGTAGGTGGACTCTTGAATGTTTAAAGCACTTCTCTGGGCCATGGGGCCATCATCGTGTATAAGAGTAGGTATATACTATATGATGCTGAGTTGAGCGAGATGGAAAATATGTCCTATGCTACAACAGCCGGATATATATATATATAACTACCATTACCTATACATGCAAGAGTTAAGAGAATAAATAGATTTATAAATTACAATTATATTATATGTATATTTTTCAAATTAGTGTAATTTTTCAAGTATTGTACCTATATGTATAAGGGCCAAGCATAATATTTATCTGCTTGGATGCTTCACACTGCACCGCAACTTAACTCCAAAACGCGTACGTACATGTGTATGTAAACACGTACGTATATTATTATGGTAGAGAAGTTCGAGAGTACAGAACTACAGAAGTGGCTGTACTTATGCGTTGGGCTCTGTGGATGCTGCAGAGCACAGCCTCATCCCCGTGAATTATTCCTCGTTATTTTAGGTCTTTTCTTTCAGGTACTCCTCAAGGACGACTGTGTACTTATTAACAACTTGCACAATTATGATCACCAACATACACATGAACTTATAATCGCATTCACTGCACTTTGAAATTATGCTTATCGAGAGAACGCGCGAGCCGAGAAACGTAGAAGATAAGTGTGCGTGTGTGAGTGAGTGGTGATCCGATCGGATCGAGAAAAGAAAAACACCAGAACCAGAAGATGGAGGTGTATATATATATGAACCTATATAAAAAAAAAGTAATGTACAGTTTAAGCACTATTGTGTAGGCGGGGGCGTGTATGTTTATATACGTATATATGAAGCAGCACGCCGATGAAAAATCTTGCGTTTTCCCCCTGTACCTAACGGTAAGTAGTATACGGTCCCGGGCCTGGAGCTCGGGCTACTGAACCAACTGCGAGGCCAGACACTCAGTTATGCACGGAGACGGATAAATGAGTTTTCGCGAGAACACAAGCAACACGAGACGCAGCCGCCGAGACGATAATAGAACTCTCTCGCACCGATTCTGCCAGAACTAGCCGTCGTCTCTCCTTTGCGCCATTCACACGAGCACTAACAAAACTGACTAAAAAGAACTCATCTGCTCTAAAATCGAAGTGCGATCTTCGCGATGGTGATGCGGTGTTGGGCGGCTCTCTCTTCTCCTCTCCTCCTTATATGGGTTCCATTCGTACCGCACTGTTCCCCTTTTCATCTCTCTCCGCGGTAATGCGCGGTTCGTCACGTTCCGACGATCCTACATGCACACGTGTTTTCAAGTGTTTTCACACGCACGGTTTCCCGAGAGTGTTTATATTTACATGCTGGATTTGACAGTAAAAGAAAAAGTGATTTGACAAGACGGTGTTTTACTATCATTGTGGAAAGTAAGATTAAATAAGGGCATGTTTGTACTCGAGTATTACTTTTGTATTTTTTGTGATGTGATAGCAAATAATATAGATCTTTAAAAGTTTATAATTGAAGTGCTGAGGTTATAAAACTTTGGAGCTTCAGTTGGTGAACATTTTATGTACAAATTAATTCATAAGTGAACCGTTAGAACACAATTTCACAATGGATCCAGAAGTTGATACGACTCAAGGTGGTTTGAGGATTGATGGCAGAAGGCCCCTCGAGTTACGTAGGATAAGGTTGCGCTTGGGGGTTTTCAGCCAAGCTGATGGAAGTGCCTACATTGAGCAAGGAAATACCAAAATATTGGCTACAGTTTATGGGCCACATCAAGTAAGTTGTAGAGTTAGTAAGTTACAGATTTTTTGTGAAATCAATGTTGATTATAAAATTTAATTTTATGTAGCCAAGAGGGAAATCAGTTAGTAGTATGACAAAGGCCACAAAAGGTATAGTTAATTGTCAGTATAGCACAGCGGTATTTAGCTTTGGTGCTGGAGAAAGAAAAAAGAGGCCACGTGGTGATAGGAAATCCATTGAAAGAGCTCAACAGTTGAAACATGCCATGGAGGCAATCATCAATTTAGAATTGTTTGCAAAGTCTCAAATGGATGTGTTTGTTGAAGTGCTTCAAGTTGATGGCAGTGAATTTTGTGTAGCTGTCAATGCTGCGACTCTCGCCTTAATTGATGCTGGTATTCCAATCAAAGTAAATTCATAAATATGCACTCAATTTAATTCAATTTCTTTCGATTCATCTTTAAGTCAATACGTTTTCTTTTCAGGACTATGCAGTTGGGTGTTCCATTACAGTATCAGATAAATTGCTGGGAGATGACGATAGCGGTAAAAGCACGGGGATACTCGACGCCAACTGGGTGGAAGAGTGTTCTCCAGGTGTGACTCTGTCGATTGTTGCACTGCCCAAAGTCGTTGATGAAACAGAAACGAAAAGTTCCGTGATATTGGCTCATGGTGCTGGGCAGAGATTACATCTTTCTCAGCTTGAATCTTTAAGATTAAGAGCGCTCCAAGGTTGTAAAGACATAAGGACTATTATTGATCAAGCAGTCAAAGATCACTTGCAAATATTTGTTGTTACCACTGCTTTAGATAAATAAGATTGATTGTTTCAAACGTTAATTTACACTTGATAAGTTTAATAATAAAAGGTTTTTTTACAAAAACAATGTTGAACAATAGTTAAATATATTTTGCCTATATAATCATTTATAAAATTCCAGAAAATCTCTTATAAAAATATATAAATTGACATATAAATGTAAAAAGCGAATAACGAATGCAACTTTCTGTACTTGTGGATGACGCTGTCTTGAAAAGCTATTGAAAATTTCATTTCCAACAACTTACAATGCGATTTCATTAATTTCTTGTGCATTTAAATGCACTTAAATTTTTGCGTCTGGGTGTCTTTCAATGATCATTCCAACTCCCTAAAAAAATGGAACATTATAATTATCATATTTAAAAAATGTGAAAATATAAAATCAATTGGCTAATTACTTGTCCACCAGCAGCACATGCGGCAATCAGACCAAACTGTTGGTCTTCCTTTATTAATCTATTGGCTGTGTGAGTAGTTAGCCTAATACCAGTAGCAGCAAACGGGTGGCCAATCGAAAGGGAACCTCCCCATGAATTCCACTTCTTCAGATCAGGAACACCCACTTTCTCTGATCGTTTCAAATAAGTTTTGGCAAAGAAGTCAGAATCAAGAGCCTTCAAGTTAGCCAAAATCTGAGCAGCAAATGCCTCGTGAACTTCCCAAACTCCAATGTCTTTCAGAGTAAGACCTGCCTTTTGAAGTACCTGAAACATTTTTCACATGTAAGAATGTAAATTATTAACTTTAAGATGATTGTTATTTAAATAACATTTTTATGGCTACTTTACCTTGGGAATGGCATAAGCAGGTCCCAATAGAAGTTGGTCCTTGGGATCTTGAGAAACATATACAAAGTCCCGAATGTAAGCTTTAGGCTTCAATCCAAGTTGTTTAGCTTTCTCTTCAGTCATTATTAAGCCAGCAGATGCACCATCCGTAAGGAATGAAGCATTAGCGGCAGTTACTGTTCCATAAGGTTTAACAAAGGCTGGCTTCAATTTAGCCAGTTGATCTTTTGTTGAGACTCGGACGCCATTGTCTTTGTTAACAACTTGCTTGGCACCTGGAACTAAAACAAATTTGACAGTTATTTTTCTATCTGTAAAATTAAGTAAAAAGTAATGAAAAAGACTGATACTCACCGACAAAGGGCACCATGTCACTAAAGTATCCATTTTGATGAGCCTGAGCAGCAAGTGTATGTGAGCGAAGAGCATACTCATCCTGTTCTTGTCTGGTGACATTAAAAGCAGCAGCTAGTCTATCTCCGCTATGGCCCATAGTTTCGTTGGTAGAGAATTCGGCTACTGCTGGCAACTAAAATGAAATGATAAGCAATGGCACTGTAAAAACGCGCTATGTGAGAATAAATATATGTAGACAAGCATCTCTTACATCAGGAACAAAGTGGCCTGGTCTGATGGTTGCCAACAGTTGGATTTTCTGCATAGGAGTTTTAGCTTTGTTTGCTCTAAGCATAAGAGATCTCATGGCTCTGCTGTGTCTAATGGGAATGTCGGACATGAATTCAACACCCCCAGCAATAACAGTGTCATAGACACCAGAGTTTATATAGCCAATCCCTGTGGTCAAGGCGACGTTGCTACTGATGCAAGCCATAGTGACTGTATGAGCTGGAGTGTGCTGACTGTATCCAGCAGCCAAAGCAGCCTCTCTAGCGATGTTTGAAGTTCTAACTTCTTGCATCACGGTACCATAGACCACATAATCAATGGCTTCCTTTGGGATGCCCGTCTTCTTTTGCAAATTTCTTAAATATGAAAAGTCGTGGTTTCATAATTTTTATAATTATTTATTGTCCAATTGTCTTACGTGATTACATATAACTAGAAATCCTTTTATCTTTGAAAAACACTAGAAAGATAGAATACCTTAAATAGCAAAAGTAATAAAAATTTTCCATACTTACACAAGAGTTTCTCTGGCAAGGTCATGTGCAATGAGTTTGCTGTAATCAGTATTTGATAGCAAAAATGGAGTTCTAACTCCATCGATGTAGACAATATTTTTTTTGCCAGGAACAGATGGCTTTGATACTGCAGTTGCATAGCTCTTTCGATTGAACCGAGAAGGCAACCAAATGCAGCTAGCTGAAATTTATCATATTATTTGCTATACTTAATCGACAATATTCGTAAAAAACAAAAAAAAATTCCACTAAGTCAAAAGAAACAGAAACGTAATTGACACAATAGATAATCCAACTACTTTTAACATACACTTGTATGAATAAATGCACACTTACTAAACTAATTTGCAATGTATATGTATAACCACTTTACAAAAGAAGAGCAAAAACATGTTAAATCATTCTTTCATCTCATTAATTAAAAATACTTGCCTTGTGGTACTACATTACTGCTAAAACGGGGTAAATTTATCAGTCCTGACATCATCTTTCCTTAGTCTTGTTTCCTCTCCAACTTTCAACAATATATGCAATGTCTGCTAAAAACTATAGGTATTTACAGAAGCTCTTTTTTTCTCCCTTTGGTCACTTTGTAAGTTCTTCTGGAAGTACACGCCCAAAAATATAAAAAATTACGGATTTATTAAGCACAATTAATTAACCGTGACACACAAGTTATGCAATTTATGTGTATAACTTACATAGATTACTTATCGAAATGTCTGACTATGATAAGCTGGATCGACTATCTTTCAACAACGTTTTGCCAATTACCCAATTAGTTATTGGTGACAAGTAACTAGTACCTATATTCCTGCAGCCTGTGGAATTTGCGCACTCGACCCTCGTCTCTCTCGACGTCACCGCGAACTCCACAATGTGTTCACTTAATCCCCGTTGCAATATAAATATAGAAGCAGCGTTTTGTGTACGTGTATCTTATATTCTTGAGATTGAGCGATTGAGGAGAGAATAATTTGTTTTGTTTGTATTTTGTTGAACTATTAGTAGTGGAACATCCAGCCAGTGTGTCAACATACGGTCAATAACGGTCAAAAGCTAGTAACCCATACATAATTAAAGTATTCGAGATTTCCATATAATATTAATTGACGAACCGGATAAAAAACTATGTAATGTATAATACCAATAAATAAAAAAAAAAAATTATTTTTTTTGTATTTTTTTTGTGTTAAATAGCTTTAACGCCATCTAACGAGGCTGATTTTGAACTAAAAAGTACCCTTTTATAGTTTTTGAGAAAGTCACTAGCAAAAGTTACTAGTTGAGCTTTTTTAGTCCGCTGACAACTTGGACGAAGAGAAGCACAGCTAAGATTTCTCTATTTAATTTCAAACAGGGAAATCCGAGTTGAGCTCTTCTTCATCGCCTGAAATAAAAGAACGTCCGTAGGGTTTCTGAGCCACGAGTTTTTTCGAGTCTCGAGAATAATCGTCCGCTAGATGGCGTTGATCGAAACAAATACAAGGAGTCTCGCGCGGGGGAGGAGGACCGGCTTCTCTTCTGCTGCTATCGACAACTTGAAAAATTTATTTCTTTGATATGAAAATTATTGAAAGGGCATACTTATTATATTGACAGTAACTGTAGGAGTAAATAATATAAGTAAATATACACAAACTATACACGCTCAGTGCAGTTCTTTCATACGCTTCCCGCTCATAATTCACGCAATATTATGAATAATTTTTCGTTACAGATGTATCTTCTTACAATGTTTGTTGGTTCTTGATGTAAGTAAACTTCTCACTGGATTATACGGTCAGTTTATGCACAATATTTTTTATCTCATGATCAAAAGCGCAAGGAATTCAGTAGCGCGTTGAAATGGCAAAATTTCGAAAGAGAAAATGTTTAGTCGATGATGCAGACAAGGTAGAATCAAAAAAATTTAGTTTAAATCACGAATTTGATCAAGGTTCATTGGACGCGTTGACTTTCGCAAATAATTTAAATGCTCTCTCTAAAAAACCACTCCTAGAATTTTCTAACAATGTAAAAAGCAAATTAGATGAAAGATCTGGTGATGTGAAACAAAATCCAGATTTGCTTATTCAAGATTATTATTCTTACAAGTTAATAAAACTGATGTACAAGTTAGATGTGTCGGTACTATGTTTACTGAGGAAATGTGTTTATGAACATAAGTACCCCTCACTTAATATATCATTTAATGATAAATCAATCCAGAAAATATGTGACATTGTCCTCAAAACTGATAATAATTCTATTCATATGAATATAGAGTACGTTGATGATTATTTTATGAACAATACTATTGATTACAATAATCTATTTGGTAAAAAATCCACATCATTTTCTCTGAATAAATACTTTGACAGCTTTGCCAAACACATTATTTCCAACTTGGAAAATAATGATTCAAATGTAAAATATCTTGTCATTTATACAAACATAGGTCTAGGCATAACTAGTTGTAATCAATTAAACCATGGAAGAAGTAGAACATTTTTTCCGTTTGAGTTTGTAAATGTTTCGGATAAGTCTGACATCTTACAAGACTTTTTGTTTTTATCTGGCATTGAAAGGAGCGGTGGTTTCTATCAATTTTCAAGAGATGAAGAAATGAGAAAAGAATTTTTAGAACGTTTGCAGTTTTCTTCAGTGGTGCAAAAAGTCTTGAAAGAAAAAAATCTGTCTGAAAAGTTTCAGAATAAGTTAAAAAATCTTTTTTTTAAAAAACTTGTATTTGCTGTTGACCAACCTAATAGAGAGGAATTGAGAAGAAATATTAGCAATGAAATTACGAAAACTCAGTTAAACTATATGAAATTACAACAAAAAGTAACATTAGCTAGAGAAAAGATTGAATCTGAACTTATTTATGAATTCACAGTTCTGAAGTATATGATACAAAACATGCTTTTATATAAAATCATTTCTTCCGTAAATTATCGACTGTTCAATGAATTTAATGTGATAACCATCTGTATCTCTGATAAAATAATTTATATGCATTGTTCTGAAACACAAAGTCATGTCAAATACAGGCAAATTTTTCCCAAAAATCATAAGCAAGGATTCGATCTTAATGGGCACTTTAATGTATTTGTCACGGAGTTAAAAAATAGAGTTAATATGGATTTTATGATTGTTTACACAAACAAAAATTTGGATTTGGACGAAAAACGTGTGTTTAAAATGGAAAAAATAAAAGATTGCCATCCATTCGCATTCAATAAAGTAGATGTTCAAAATAACAAGTACGAACCTTTGAAATATTGCCTGAGTAGTGACTGTAACGTGTATCAATTTGCCAAGGGACATGAAACGGAACTTTTTAGCTTATTAGATATCCCTCATGCACTTAAAGATTTGAGTGATGCGAAGAAACAAGAATTAAAAGAAGACTTTATGAAAAAAATAATATTTGCATGTGAGCAAGCCGACACAAAAAGTTTAAATAAAGCCATAAAAAGCAATATAAAAGAATCAGAGGTGCCACACAATTTAGAAGAGTTACAGGAGGTGACGTTGCGATGGTTAGAGTCTTTCAAGTCGAGTCCTATTACGGAGAAAATCTTCAGACAAATTTTAGATGACGTAAGGAACAACAGAGTCACGTACCAAACATGCAAAGACCAAGACATAGCTCAAAAAGTTGCTTTCACGAAATGCGTTATCAGTTCAGAGAGTTCGGTGGCGTTCACGCGATTTCTCCACTTTATAACCGAAGGGAATGGAAAAAAGTACTTGGAGGTTTTTAAGAAAAACGGCATAAAACTAAGCAGCGTGTCGAGTATGTTGAACAGAGCAGATTACGCGGCTATACGAGCACTGACAAGTTTGTATCACGTTTGGATCGATGAAGATGAAAACGAAACGGTGTATTTGAAAACACTGAAAGAAAACAGGATCAGTTTGACCATCATTTCTAGTATCTTGGAAGGTTCGAGGATCAACGCTGCAACGACTTTCATCAGTTTTTATCATCTGTGGTTCGACGAGAGAGGCAACAAAACCAAGTACTTGCAGACCCTGGAACACCATGGCATAGATCTCGTCAATTTATCCAGTGTTTTAAACGGATCGGGCAGTTTGGCAGTAAAAGCATTCGAAGAATTGTACAACATGTTGTTCGACGACAACGGAGAGAAATCGAAGTACTTGAAAACCCTGGAAAGACACGAAATAAATTTCAGGAATGTCAGCAGTATCTTGGACCAGTCGAAAAACGATGCCGCGGAATCCTTCAAAAAATTGTACGATCTTTGGTTCGACGCGCAAGGCAACAAGACAAAGTACTTCAAGATCTTCGAGCTGGCAAACATCGATTTGTCCAATTTGACCGGTATGTTGAACGCAGCGGGTAAAAGCGCCGCTAAAAACTTTGAAAAGCTGTACAACCTCTTCTTCGACGAAGACGGCAACGCGTCTCATTATTTGCGAACGCTCGACAGATACAACATCAACTTACGGTCCATGTCGTGTATTTTAAACGGTTCGCGGTTGCACGCGACCCGAAGCTTCACGGAATTTTACGACTTGTTGTTCGACGAGGAGGGAAATAAAACAAAAATGTTCCGAGTTATGGAAAACGAGGGCATCAGTATTTCAATCATATCCGTCATTTTGAGCAGAACAGGAGCTAAAACGTCCCAAGCCTTCAAAGATTTGTACTACCTGTGGTTCGACGACCAAGGAAACAAGACCCGATATTTAAAGGCCTTGGATGAACACGGGATCTCGGTGTCGTTGGTGGATAAATTGCTCTTCGGAGCTGGGGCCAAAGCCGCAAAGTACTTCAAAGAATTGCACGAACTTTGGTTCAACAAGGAAAAACACGGGACCCTGTACCTCGAAAACTTGGAAAAACACGACATACTTCGGCCCTTTTTGAGAATCCTGTGGCACTCCTCGTTCAACGTCGTGAGATCTTTCAAGGAGCTGTACGAACTACTGATCGACAGGGAAGGTAACACAACAAAGTACATAAACGTACTGAAACAAAACAAGGTGAGTGAAAGACACTTTTTCAATATGCTGTACTGTTCCGGGGCCAATGCTGCCGGTGCGTACAAGGAGCTATTCGATCTTTGGTTCGACGAAGACGAGTGTAAGACTCGTTACTTGAAAACAATAGATGATAACAATGTGGAGCTCAACAAGCTTGCCAACATCATGTTTTGTTCTGGAGGTGCGGCAGTGAGGACCTACAGAGATTTGTTTAACTTTTTGTTCGACGAGGATGGAAATAAATCAGCAAAGTTGAAACTATTGGAGACGAATGGCGTGGGCGTTGACAAATTGTACGGGATTTTTTGGAAATCCCGCTCGAAAGCAGCCAATTCGCTGAACGAATTGTACGAGGCCTGGTTCGACGAGCGTGGACAGTTGCGACGCAACTTACAAGTTTTCGAGAGCAATGGGGTGCCATTGGCAAGTCTCGTGACCATTTTGTACAGAACACGCTCGCGCGCGGCCAAAACTTTTAAAGATCTGTACAACGTGTTGTTCGACAAAGACGGCGTTAAAAAACCGTTTCTGGAAAAGTTCGAAGAAAACGGTATGAGCGTGGGTTTTGTGACGGGTCTCGTGAAGAGCGCCAAATTCAACGCCGCGGTGGTCATAGAAAAAATATTCGAACTCTTGTTCGTCAAACGCGAAAACGGGAACACTCGGTTTGAAATTTTGAAAAAAGAAGGCGTCAAAGTTGGCGATGTGATCAATTTGTTGCACGGCGCGAAATCAGAGCTCCCGAAAGCGTTCGACGACTTGTACAACCTATGGGTCGATGAACACGGAAGGACGACGCAATATGTTGAAACGTTGAAAAGACATGAAATGAATGTGGTAAAATTTAGTAAAATACTGCGAAAATCGGGATCCAAATTTGCGCTTGCGTACAAAAAACTTTACGAAGTTTGGTTCGATCGAGACGGCAATAAATCATTTTGTGTGCAAAAGTTGGAAGAAAACGGACTCACGCCGGGTCTTTTGTTTTGTATTTTTCGGAATGCCGGATTCAACGCGGCAGAACAGTTTAAAAAAATATTTGACATTTGGTTCGAGCTAAACGGCGACAAGTCAGTTTATTTACAAAAATTTCACGACAACGGAATGAACCTAGTCGTTTTGGTGAAATTTTTCACAAAGTCCTGTTACGTCGACCTCTCAAATGCCTTCATGAAGTTTTACCATTATTTTTTTGACGAACACGGTAATAAAGCGAAGCGACTCGAATCTTTGGAACAAGAGGGAATAAACTTGAAAAATATCCATTACCTTTTTTCGTACACAGGAAGATGCTTTTCTGGGTTAAAAAGGTTGTTCGACCTTTGGTTCACCGAACAAGGCGACCCGACCTTTTACCTCAATACTTGTAAGAAACACGATGTAACACTGTTGACTGTGATCAGTTTTTTGAAATCCACGTCCAGCAAAACTGCAGATGTCTTCACGGAACTATTTCACCTTTGGTTTACTAAAAGAGGACATCGAAAGTTGCGATTGAAATTATTGAGCAAAGAAGGACTGCACCTGTCAGACTTGTGCAAGGTACTGAGAGGTGCAGGCGTACGCGCTCCCAGTGTTTTTAAGAATTTTTGTGACCTTTGGTTCAATAAAAAAGGAGAAAAAACGGTCTATCTGAAAATATTGAACGAAAATAACGTTAGTCTACCCGAAGTATGGGATGTTTTGTATCAGTCTGGATCTAGTCCAGCAACTTTCAAAGATTTGTATGGTCTTTGGTTTGACGAACAGGGAAATAAAACACATTATTTGAAAGTTATTGAGAACAAAGTGATCAATCTCAACAACGTATGCGTTATATTAAGTGGTACCGGAAACAAGGCTGTAACATACTTTATGAAGCTGTTTGACTACTGCGTAAATCACGGAGATGTCATAAACGTGAATGAGATCCGTAAAAATCTTAGGATAAAACAACAAGTCACACATAAAGCTCTGCGAAATATTTTTACATAAATATTTAATATATTTTTATACCGTGTTGAATAAAATGTACAAAAAATATATTTTTTTTACGAATTAAATGCATTTGAAAAAATAAATTTGTTTGCAATTCTTTCATGTGTCTGTTTCCAATTAGGTGATACAATTTCAAAGAAACAAATAAGTACACGTGTAGTAAAATAAATTTTTAATGTTTATTATGGACACTTCATATATACTATACAACAAATTCTGTTCAACATAGTTATATCATTCAATAAACAACTTCTACCGATAGTTTCATTTATTTTTTTTTGTTTTTATTTATTTATTTTTTTTCATTAATATAAATTCTGAATGTATTGATGGTTCATCTTAATCATCCACTAACGAAAAATGCAACATCTGATAACTTTTTCGTAACATTTATATTATTTGATTTTTAACATGTATACACTCTTATCATTAATATTTATACTCAGCAATATATATATATATAAACTTTCGTTAGAACACCCAAGCAAATTTTTTCGAAGAAAGAAAAAAAACTCAATTTTTGTAACTAATCAATATTTATGAAGTTTCTTAAAATTTAGAAAACAGCTGTATAATTTAATTAAAATTAAAAACTTCGAATCAATCTCACATGATAGTAATACATTTATTCTCTGTTGTTCTATCGATACTTTTTTTTTAAATTTTATTTAATTTTTTTTTTTTTTTTTTTTTTTCGTGAAACATGATCGTATATTAATTTTGCAATAGCCAATAACACACCTATGTTTTCAAGAACACTGAAGTATCGAACGTAAGCTTGGCAACACAATAATTTATAGTTCATCGTAGAGGAGAAGCGTATATATATCTGAAGCACATGCTAAGGTTTCCGATGCATTTCTCCGTGAAACCCAGCCGTTACAAAAATACACACCAAATGCATAATGTTGCCCGTTACGCGCTAAACCACTTGTGCGAACGTACGTGATTTTAATTTAAAAATTATTTGGGGGGGGGAGAAAAATTACAATCTACCAAAACAAACGCACATTGCATTTTACATGTATATACACGTATAAGTAAACATACACACACACGTATACGCCATGGCAAATGGCAACGTCAATTGCAAACGGCGTGTCACAACCGGCGAGCTATACTTGCCCCGTTCTACTCTACATTACGTATACAATCAAGTATTTTACGATCCCTGCAGATTAATACACATCACTCGGAAAATATACGTATTATATATATCGCAGACAATATACATCGACCATTCATTTTTGCTTGTCAGCAAGACACCTATGCTGGCCCACATTCAGCTAAACGTATATACTCTGTCGTTGGACAATATTAGCCTCGACGACGAGCATCCGCAAGACTTCCCGGAACGGCATGTGTTTGCATTGTATATCTTTTTTGCTACTCGATCCTCTTCTGGTGTGCCTTTTTGCTCTTAAGAGCTGGTGTGGGGCCGTTTTGCGATCCACTCGGCGATGGCAGGGATGCCGTGCACGCGTTGTTTCAGACTGCGAAGGGCGGGGTAGCTCTCCAGCGCCCCACCGCCGAACATTTGCTCAAAGTTCTCCAAAGCAACGGCAAACACGAAATCCGCCCACGTTGTCTGTACGTGAAAAAAAAATTATTCCTTTTTTTGACAACGTTTTCATTCGGTTATTAATGGTCCGAGAAATAATCAAACTCACGCTCGATCCCACGGCGTAGCCGTTGTTTTTGCCAACGGTCTGCTCGAACTTGTTCAGGAAGAAGGGTATCGTTTCTTTCGCGAACTTGGCCTTTTTCTCCTCCCTCTTGAAGAGGTCCTCCTCCTTTTGGAATTGCAACAGTTCTGCGAACATAAAAACCATCATAATGTGTAGTTTTGAAAAAAAAATGACGAAAAAGCTCGTACATAATATATATGATTGAAAATTTGTGTTTACCCTGCCTGAGGTCGCCGAGGCTGTCGACGAGGACGTCGCACTGCATGGCCTCCCACTCGTCGGCTCCGACGAGGCCGTATTTTCGCGCCAAGTAACGAGCGATCGCGTTGCTCTGAGCCACCCGCTGGCCGTCCACCTCCAACACCGGCAGCTGACCGTAAGGCACCGCTGTTGGACGAAACATTCGGTGCACGTGCAGCAGATGTATATTATGACAATACACGAGTAGTGGAAACAGGAGAATTCCATTTTATCAACCAACAGAGGATTTGATGCGAAAATCGAAGCAGAGATCAAACTGTTTGCTATTCATTTCGCCTTTATCGCGACAAAAGCACGTAGTTGCCATCACATATTATATCTACTGCTATATGGTACAACATGCATGTATAAATATATGGATAGAAACGCGACCAGGACTGATTATAATTCAATTTTCTTTTCACGATTAATTTTACTATACGAGCGAGAAAATAATATACTCAATGTCATTCAAAGGAGCACGAAATTCAGATTTTAACTAACCATTTTCTTTAGGTATATATTTTCACAAAAGTATACAAGTAAGCGGTTCACCTTGTAACGATCGTTTTTGAAAAATTGTCTCTCTATCTCTATAACGCGCTCTAATTTTTTATTTTTATTTTTAATCCGCACGAGTGTACGTACCAACTTGAGCTTTAAAAAAAAAAAAAGAAAAAAAAAGAAAAAGAAACAAGACACCCTCGAGCCATTTATCACGTCTACGCGCGTTTCTCGCGTCCCCTCGTCCAAAAGACTTAATTTCCCGTCTATTTCCTGCTGAAAAGGCTGCACTTGCGTGTTTTAATTTGAAATTTAAAAAGCGCACGGGCGAGCGACAAGAGGGGCATAAAATAAAAGTGAGAGAGATGCCGTAACTTTATCATTCCTTACACTTTTTTAATTCGGGCCAGCGCTCCTTCGGGACGCGCTCGTCGACGTAATCCACTCCGGCGTAGGCGAGCACGAAGCGAATGTGCTCGGCCCTACCCCGAGCGTTGAAGTAGATTAGCTTGTAGCTCGGCTGCTGCTGCTGATCCTCCGTCATTTTTTTCCCTCTCTCTGTTCTCGCTTTTCCTCTTTCACCGCGCACCTTTGATATCCGCTGGAACCGAAAAATTATAAAATCTTCCCATTCATACAGGTATTACAACGTATATCACCCCCCCTCATTGGTTTCAAAAGCTTTTGCCAGCCGTGCAAGTATATACACTCGGTTGGAATAAAATCCAAACGCACTCGGAGCGCAAAAAGCCCTTTCTTACACCTCTGGCTTTACTTTCTACAGCTGCCGATCGTATACCGATATGAAAATAACGTTTCCCGTCAAAGGCGAAAATTAAACCAATCGCGATGAAAGTATACTTGGGTGCAGTATATCGAGCAAAAGATGGAGAAACGGAATAAGGAGGGGATAAGGAAAAGTTCGCGGATCGAACCTTATTACCCGAGAAGACTATAAATACATAGCATCGGTTGCGACTATGAAAGTAACTATACGTAACAGTCGTGGGCACCAACGGGCCCTCGAAGGTTGTGCTGTGGGATTTAAAAAAGAGAAAACGGAGGAAAAAACTTTTCTCATACGTACTATACACTCTGGAGCTATTGTTCTTCCACTTTAATCCTTAGAAGCAGAAGCAGTTGCATACATTGATTGAAGAGTTTTGGGATGATATTTTAGAACCGTGTTTGTGTAGATGTACGTACTTGTAGTTTGAATTTGTTTCGCAATTATAAAAATAAATCTAGTTGTGGTTGATGGTATACCATGGGATTATTTTCAAGTAAATGGTCCAGCACTGACTGATAATAATAAAGTAAGATCGTGGCGTCAGATTTTCATTGGAATAAAACAGAAAAACAATAGTTTTGAATGACTAAAGTTACGATAAACGAGTTATCGTTTAACTGGCCGATCAGAGTGAATCCGAGAGTGTAAAGTCGACTTTCATTACATTTCGCGATAAGAGTATACCATAGCCGTTCATCGCTTCGTCGTCAGGTTATATCCTCGGAGGCCGGTATAGTGCCACAGCTCGCCCGAGTACACATAATATATGTCACGGCGTATAGGGTGGAAGAAAAAAAAAGTCCGCGTGACCTACCCTCGCGTGCGCCGTTTCTTTTCATTCGCCAATGCTCTTTTCGAGCTAATAATGCTCATTTTGCCGGGCGAGAAAGGAAGACGTAGGTATATATATACGTATTTCTCCGCCCCGGTTTTTCTTCACTCCGTCCGACAAGTGACTGCAAATTGGTTTTAAAAAGCGTTTCAAAGTATACCAGCTCGAGATTATTTTAAGGACCTTTTTTTCACAGACTCCCGACTTTCCATCGCTTTGGACTTTCTTTCGAAGCTTATTTATACTTCGCGCGCTTTTAAATCACTTGCTTTGTTTCGTTTATACGTCCTATACGTAATCCTGTCGAACTTCAGAGGAGCAACCACCAAAAAAAAGGGGGGAAAAAAAACTTTGTTTTCCCTCACGAATCCGCGAGGAGCTTGCAAGAATTAATGAGAAATCCGAGTTTGTTTCGATGAAAATTCCAATAGACATTTTAAGAGAGAAGTATTTTCCCTGTTCTGGTATCGTCATCTCGTCTATCGCTTCGAGTGATGTATCTGCAAGCGACGAGAAAAAAAGAATCTTTCAAAAAAAAAAAAAAAAAAAAAAAAAAACAGCTTCTTTCAGATGGAAAAAAGGTGCAGCGGAAAATAGCAGTGCCATTCAATGCCGGGCATATTGAAATTTTTGCCTCGTGTTCCAGCAAGTCTGCATTGCTTTCGTTTGACACTGTCAATGCAGCCGGCGATTGTAAATTCGATTTTCCCTCCTTTGCCTTTTCGAAAGTTTTACCCACACGTGGGGGTTTTAAAAATATCTTTCAAAATGGACACGCGTCCGGCTAAACAAAAGAGCCTCTTATCTCTTATTTGCAACACGCAGGACTTCCGCGTGTGCCCGTTTTCGCGGATATCCGAGCACGCGTTTCGCGAGATAACACAGTAGTCCATGTGCAACCCCTTCTCTCACCCCACCCTCAAATGGTGGGAAAGGCAAACGGAGTGTTGGGCTGAAATTTTTCCTATCGCGGACTTCTTCATGAAACGTGTGTACATGCAACCAAGCGAGTAAAGCTCAAAATTTTTATTTTTAGGGCTAACGTGGCAATTTTCTCTTTGTTTAAAATCGTGTCTTGAGTCTTGATGGACTTTTATCATGGATATATTTTTAACGAGCATTTAACCTTCAGTCAAAACCGAAGGTAAAAAAAAAAAAAGAAGTTGAGGGCAAATAATAATCTCAGGGGAGCAAACATTGGATCAAAATATAAGAGCGTATATTTATCAAGCTTTTATTTGTTGAGTTAAATAGTAAAAAAAAAAAAAAAGG